CTATAACGCCCCTTTCACACGTGCATTCTGATCAGGTCGACCTGTCAGTTTTTTAGGCAGACCGGATTGTAAGCCCATTGCTAGTCTATGAGCAGCCGGATCTAAACAGGCGAGCGTCCATTTACATCCAATTACCCAGGGGAGTATCCACTGCAAGGCAAATAAGGCATTTGCCTTGGCCGGCACTTTGCAGGGGGGGCTGCTCATGGGGCCTTGTGGCAGCCTAATTTGCCTGAGAGAGCTGTCGGAGGAAAGAGGAGGCGGGGCAGGGCCAAGTGAGATGCGGAGGCAGTGGGTGGCTTGAGGCTGCAGGAAAAAGCTGCGGGTGGCTCGAGGCTGGAGGAAAAAGCTGCGGGCAGCTCGAGGCTGGAGGAAGAAGCCCACCATCTAACAGTGGCATGTCCTGGAGGCAGGCTGGGGAGCTGCAGGTAAGAGGAGCAGCAAGGAAAGGCACTCTACAAAGCCCACCATAGATCCTGCACAGCCCATGAGAATCAGAGGTGGGCTGTGCAGGATCTATGGTGGGCTGTGCAGGGTCTCAGGTGGACTGTGCGGGGTCTCAGGTGGCCTGTGCAGGTTCTCCGGTGTGCTGTGCAGGCTCTCAGGTGGGTCTACGGTGAGCTGTGTAGGGTCCCAGGCCCTGCAGAGCCCACCAGAGATCCTTCACAGCCCACATGAGACCCTTCACAGCGACTGACAGACTGACAGATTATGCAAAATGCCTGAAACAGAAAGGGGTGGGGCAAATTTAGATTGGGGTGGGTGTTCGAGTTTTGTCTTGCCTAGGGCAGCACGAAACCTAAATACACCATTGCAATTACCCCTGGCTCTGGCCAGGTCCGCAAAAACAAACGGATAAGAGGTCCGCTTTGCCAGACTTGATCGTGCCGGATCAGAGGTAATCTGATGTAAAAGGAGTGTAGAGGCAGTGGACAAGGTAGGGCTGGGTGGGTATTAGATAGTAGTGTAGGTCGCACACAAAAGGTGGGGATTGCAATAATGGAGTAGAGGAGAGACAATGTAAGGGGGGTATAGACATGGTATACATTGATATATATTTGCTGCAGAAAGATCTTGCCATTGATAAATTATAGGTGGCCAACTTGAATATTCTTCATAATGTTCACTTCATATTGTGCTCTGTTAATTGTTGGTGGTTTGCATTTGAAAATTTGTAACACAGAATTCAATTTCTTACGTTTGCATTAAACTTAAAAACTGCTTTAGGCCATGATAGAATTGCAACATATTTTGTTTTAAGAGGTTTGCATTTATTAGCACTAAACATAATGCAGGTTAACACTAAAACATGATTTGGTAAAACTTTTAAGCGTCGTTACTCCATATGTAAAACAGTTTACATGGAAGTCCAGAAAGAACAATATTTTTGTCACTGCACCTAACTACACGAGATGCTGTATGGGAGATCTGAACTGCAACAGTACAAAGAGCATTGAGCACACTGGCATAGCGGTGTCAACGGCCAACCTTGATAGATAACAGATTAAAAATGTTCACATGTAAGTAAAATAGATCCCGTAACAAATAAGCTCCGCTGTTGCATGCTAAGGTCCCCGTCTTAGGTAATAGGTCATTGAAAACAAATGTTCTTATTAGGTTCTGTGCCATGGTGACATACGTTCTGCTAACAATTTAAACAAAACAAATAAAACATGTGTTATTGTGTGGCTTGCAGTAGTACACTGATTAACCCTACGTTCATTTAATTTGCTTTTCTTCTAGAGGGTAATGAATAAACAACAAGCTTTCAGGACCACCATTGCAAAAAATTGTGTTTTCTAATAACTGTATAGGATTAATACGTGTAATCATTGTATTCAGTATATGAATTCCTTGTTTATTTCATGTACCTAATGTAATTTTTTTCTCCAAATTTACATGCAAACCAAGATATCCAGCAAAAGTGACCGTTACAGGGATTTGGACAAACTATAATACTGCCAGGGGTGTTTGTATAAAGGAATAAATAGATGTCTGATGTGAGTACCCTTGGCAGTGATAATGTTTGTCCCAACCCCTGCCACTGTTATATTTGCTGGGCAGTTTAGTCTGCATATAAATATGGTAAAAGAAAGTAATAGATGGGCATGTGAATTAAAAAAGGACTTTGACTACATGTGATTCCACTATGCCTTTTACTGTATTTTTACAGCTGAATTTGGAATCCATACATTTGTTGGAATACATATGTGTGAAATTTCCTTTGCAGTCTTATTATAATTTTTAGCTCAAGTATAGCAATGTTGCATATTATGTATTTCATTGTGTACTATTATACTGATTCTAGCTGATCTGCTAGCTACCCATTATTTTAAATTATACAATGTAATTCTAATTCAGCTGCTTTTAAATTATTTTTTTTATTTTTTTGCTGTTTCTAAATGCAAGTCTTTTTCTCTGTTACAAGATATGTAGAATGAAATGAATTAAATTACATAATTTTTTAAATGCATGCTTCCCAAAGACACCAAGATTTTCCTAGCCAGATATGTAAAAATACTAAATGCTGATTTTGATTGGTTCAGAATCTTAAATGTTGAAATTATTGCCATCAGACATGATTGCATAAGTGTTTATGGCTCAGTTACAGAAGGATCTGCCCATCACAGTTCTGAACCGTACATAGCAAAAGAAAAGGACGTGGAGATATCTGTCTTTCCTCTACAAGTCTATAGGAACATTGTGATCCTTCTCTGACACTGACAGCAGCCCACATCTGCTACTTCTACAACAAGCTACAAAATCTGCAATAAGCAGCACCTTGTACTACATGAGCTACTCATTATTGACCTCCACCACTTCGGAAATTGTAAATCACCCTTACAGGGTTATTCACAAAAGAGTGAAGAGTTTGGAGAAGGCAGAAGAAGTGAACAATCTAGGCCAGAATAGCTGATTTGGAAAAATTCTCCAATTAAGCTCACTTTCCAGTTCAGGTATGTTGTCCTAGATTGTTCACTTCTCCTGCCTTCTCCAAACTCTTGACCCTTTTGTGAATAACCCTGTTAGGCCTCATTCACACGAGAAACGGGCGTATTGGGCAGCTCCCGGGAAGGACAGGTGCAGCGTGTGATTAGTACGCAGCCCCTGTCTTTCTCTATGGGACTATGCGGCCATACGCCGCCCTATGCTCACCCGCCCTGCATGTCCGAGCCGGGACACCAGCACACGTACGGACCTGCACTTGGGGTGAGCGTAGGGCAGCATACAGCTGCGTAGTCCCATAGAGAAAGACAGGGGCTGTGTATTAATCACATGCAGCACCTGTCTTTCCAGGGAGCTGCCCGATACGGCAATGCACGCAGCACGGAGCAGTACATGCTGGCCGTTTCTTGTGTAAATGAGACCTTAGAATCAAAATCATTTTTATCAAGCCGTTCATGGCCAGCCTTATCTGATCTGTTTGGGTTTGCCATATGTGCAGAAAATGGACAGGTACTTTGGAACAGCTCATGTTTGTAGAGGGCAGCATATTTTCTATGCATAGCTACATTAAAGTGTATGTAAAGCCAATATTTTGGATTTCCCATCACTTTCTGTATTGTAGACAATGGTCTCCAGGACAACAGTGTGGGTGAATCTCACCAATAGGGACCTAGACACATTTATCCAAAACATATCCTTTAAATGGCTTCCTAAAACAGCACCAGCTAAAGAGGGGGCTAAAAAAGGAGTAAAGAATGGAGATTGTACAGTAAGTTTAAAATTGACTTACATGAAATTAACACATGTGTACATTATACAAGCACAATCTCAAAAGACTCCTAATTATAACAATGGCTGATTCTCTTATGTGCAAAAAAATAATTGCAATTCATTGTGGGATGTGTTTGCGAGTAGTGTAGAGGAGGCCAGATAATGAAGAGGTGGGTATAGGCAGGCAATAGTGTGGGGCACACACAAGAGGTGGAGAAATGGGATATAACATTTGCTTTTGGGAGAAGGGTGGACAATATAGAATTGGTATGGACAGAGAATAGTGTGTGGCGCACAAAATTTGCATTTGGCAGGAGGGTTGAGGGGGAGATATTCTGTAAGGGTGGGTATGGACATGGTGGTATGGGTGTATGTAAAACTATGAAAGGAATGTGAAGGGCTACAGTGGTTTATGTAAAGACTGGGTAGACACTACTGTATATAACCTTTGCTGCACCAAAAGATTATAATGGTAGTGGTGATTTGAATATGTTTGGAAGCAGCATGTGGTGAGCAGTAGTTAGTGTCTAACCAAAGATAGCAGAATAGCCAGGAAGGGCCCTAGTACTGGAGAAAGACAAACATTTTGCCAGTCCATAACAATTTGTTAGCTTGATTCCCGTTAAAAACAAAAGATAAAACAATATGGGCTACCTAAAGTAAAGGGACGACCAGCCAACCTGTAGCGAATATTGGCTATGCTTGTTGAGTGGAGGAGGGATAGCCCGAAAGTCTAATTGTTATTTACCTGAATGATCATTAGTCTGACTTCGGCATCTTCCTTTGTATGAAGAACCCATAATTATGTTCACAACTTGCAAAATATAGTTTAAAAAAATCAGAAATGTACTACATTAAGACAGGAATGTGGTAACACATTCTATAAACTTGGTAGTCGCATACACTGTGCATAGGTTATTGTATGTTTATATACTGTATATACTACTATACTATGTTTAACATACATGTATTTAGTCCTGTGTGTCTAGTGTTGTCATTCTTTAAAAAAAAAAAACCTTGTCACAATCCTTCTGTTCATGGTGATAAACCTTGCACACAGTTATTTATAGGCTCTGCTTTTTGTCTTTTTTTTCTAAAATGTTGGACAATTAAAAGGCATACCGAAATAGAGGATGAATGTTACCATGGCAACCCATGTTTTTGGTACCTGTGTCTGTGCAGGAGATTCATGAACAATAAGTTATATTCTGTAGCTAGATCATTAGTTGAAGCGTATGTATGCCTATTTATGTTCATTTACACTCGGCTGTGTTTCTCTGCAGGTAACAACATGCTGGAGATTCTATATTTTTTTCATCAAATTACCAGCAAAGGTCAGTATACACTAAACATTTTAGGTTTGGAAAATGTTTTGATTGAGCAGAATTGCTGGTTGTAATTTTTGCTTGCTGATTAAAGCTGATCCTTGAAAATTTATGAAAATTCCCAAGTGATTATGAGAAATAATTCTGACTAGTTCTTAACCCTTGTCTGAGTTATCTTTAAATTATAGGCAAGATAAAAATGAATGGTATATGCTGAACTGTCCACTGCTGATCCTGTCTTTTTATATCGGATGTTTTTAATGTTTCTTTCTGTAAAACAAAGAAAGAAACTGCCCTGGCTACCAAACTGATACTAGTCCAGCACACTAAACATATCCTGGTATCCGATAGCAAGAGGACTGTATATGTAGGAGATATCTACTTCTAATGTCAGTTTATGTATATGCCTGACCTATATCTTCAATCAGGTGCTTCAAATCAGGGGCCCAGCTCGGCTTTATCAGGTAAAGTTATGTTAACACCTTTATCCGACAGTGAAAAAAGTGTTGTAAATCAGGCGCCATTCACATGTTTGTGTCGCAGGAATGTGTGGGTTTCTGTGCTGGTTACCACAAGGCATGCTATTTGCAATACTGCAATGCGGTCCCATTCATTCTAAATAGCACCCCAATGCATACTGCCAACAAAGGTGTGCTGCTGCACTCCAGCACAACATGCAGCAACATACTAACATGCATTGCCATGCGCTGGCAAAAAACACACAGTGTTAATGACTGCATTACCGAAACGCCCCCCAACAGTTAGGTGTTAACCTAGCTTTAGGCGTTACAATTCCTGGAGAAGCTTTTCAGGTCAGATGTCTGCACCCAAACCAAATATGTTGTTGCACGTGTTTCTGAAGTATTAAAAAGTGCAATTTTTTTAAAACTTTCTGCGTTCATAACTGCTGAACCCACCAACAAAGTGTAGCCAAAGGAAATGTTTTTAATAGGATGACAACACTTGCTCAGTTCAGCTGAGGCATAGTCACACTTTCCTGCGCAATCCTGAGTTGAGCTACTAGCAGTTATGTCAATTCACAGTGCGTTGGCACATTCCACCTTGTCCGATAAAGCATTGGTGCCGCAGAGTAAGAAACTGCAACATGGAAATTATGTGCGAAAACGAAATTGGCACAACAAAACTAGCAAAAAGTAACTCGCAGTCCAACGTCATGCCTAGTCAATCTCTTTATTGACTAAGGTGGTATAACATCTCCAAGCTGTTGCTAGTTCTATGTGATTTGCAGAGGCATCTGCTGTCGCTGCTGCACCCACCCTGTGTAGTGGGATTTTTTTCCGGTCAGCAGTGCGATGGGACATATCGAATTCTGAATCACATTGGCACAAAAAAGTCCCACAATTGGACAAATATTATGCCGTAGTAATCATAGTTTAAGGATTCCTGAGCCACCTACTGCATGGCGCACTGATGTGCTTATTCTATGCTCTTAAGATGTATGGTAACCTTTTCAACCATTTTCCTATTTAAGATGCATTGCATTCAACAGGGACATGTATTGTGAATCATTGCTCGTTTGTTGCACTAGTAAAAGTGTCACAATCTGCACTATTTTAATGTCGCACCACTGATAGTTTATAGAGCCCAGTGTGTCTACAGGATGTGGTCCACAGGGAGAGAAAACATGAACAAAGTGAATAACTGTCTAAGGGAACAACTAAGGGAATAACTGCCATTTTTAACAAAAAATGCCTGCAACTTGTTTTACTTACAATGATCTAGAAAACTAAGGGGCTGATTAATAACCCATTCGCACAGCTATACATTCATAGCGCATTACTGCCACTAGATGGAACCAAGGAGCGTAGGACATTTCTATTCTCCTCAGCTCCATGCAGTGGCAGTAATGTGTTGTGAACGTCATTCGCACAGCTATATGCGGTACGACCATGTTATAAATATATATAAAAGTATTCTTTTGAGGATGCTTGAAATGGTTTCCCTTTGATCAATCAGGTGCTATTTTTATATACTGGAGGCAGTTAAAAACTGGAACAATGAGGAATGCTTACAAGTTGCTATGGGACTCTTTTTACCTGGTTAAATAAATGATCCAGTATTACTGAAGCATTCTTGTAATGCTTTTACTCTACACCTATTTCCTAATATGTTTATTTTTTCTTATATTCCTTCTTCTTTTACTACCCTTGCTCATCTTCGTTACCCACCATCACCCAGTGTTCTCTTATGATACTTACTTTGATGTATCCATGTTACTTTCTTTAGATCGAAAGTTCTTTCAGTGTGCTGGAAATCAGATCTCTCACAGCAATCAGTCTTAACCAGGTAATAAAGATTTGTCACATATTATTGAGATCATGTAGCAAAGACTATTGTGCCTCCAAATCCATGTATATAAAGTTAATCTCATTGTTTTCATCTCCTACGCCAGGGGTAGCCAAACTTTGGCCCTCCAGCTGTGGTGAAACTATAATACCCATTATGTCGCTGCCTCTGTAAGTCATGCCTGTGGCTTTCAGAGTCCTGCAATGCCCTATGGGACTTGTATTTAAAAAACAGCTGGAGGGTTGAAGTTTGGCTACCTCTGTCCTATGCCATTCACTTCACTCTGTGTTTACAATACAGACCATACATAAAGGTGGTATTGTGAATCAGTGGGTGATCCAATGCTGGTGTACAGCGTATTACTGAGCAGAGCTTTCTATATGGAATTGTATGGCTTTTCTGTATTCGTGCCCTCTGGATACTTAAATTTTCCTCCACATTCCGAAAATGTATTGGCAACTAGTTTAACTGGTCTTGTAGTATGTGAGCTTGTATGGCTAAATCATTCCGTTAGCAGCACCACTGTATAAGGTGCTTGGAATCAACAGACGTTTTTGTCTATCAAAGCATCTTAATGCCTTTATGTTGTATCTAAAGCAATCTGTCAGGCCATTGTAGTATTGGAGTTGGATTAATATTTTCAATGACATGATCATTTATTTTCCCTTTTTTCAGATACTTATTGAGACAGAGAAGGGGAATTTCCAGCTGACATTGAGTGCACAGAATACAGACCAGCTCATTAGCGGCATCCAGGCCACTCTGTCCAAGATATTCCCTACTCCAGATACAGTGTGAGTTCCCATTATTATTATAAATTCCTGTTCTCTGCTTTTGACACACGGCAGCTTAATTCGTCCTCAGCTTGTCTGTCGGGCGTGAATGTTTTAATTGCAGTCTGATGGTCTCTGTGGTATAGAATGTTTTTATTAAGGGTTATCTTAGCCTGAAAAAAGTAAGAGATTCAGAAATGATCCTCAGACAGGGCTAGCATAATCTGTTAGAAAAACAGCAGCCTTGCTAAACTCTTCTAAATTGCTTTTAATGTTTAATGTCCTTTTGGTGCACTTCTCATTTGAAATGTGGCCCTTATATCTGCATCTCCAATTATTAATCTTTCCTTAGTTCCAATTGTTACTGACATCTTCAAAGAGTTCATAGAGAAAATCAAAATGGATTGTAAAGCTGATACAATGAAACACATAATTAGGTTTGTTTCCAAACAGTAGCTAGATTCTATGGCATGTCCTAGAAGACTCCCTATAATAAACCTTATCAGGTCTCTAAAAATATGTAAATGCAATAGAATAGGGTGGCCTCTCGGGTGCCCTGTGTATCCTACCTCCACTCCATTCCAGGGCCACAACCTTCATAAACCTCTTTAGAATTTGGCACTTCCATGAGTGTTGGATGCCTGTGTCCTTCACTCCTACACCACTACTATGTCCTGTAGTGTGTGGCAGGGAACACCGTCCGAAACTCCTGGGAGTTTATAATGCAAAAGAGTCTTACAGAGGCTGCAGCACTGGAACAGATGGGAGTAGGTGACTCGAGCTGCTGGAGAGGTGAAGCTACTAGCTCTTCTATTACAGTGCCCTTTGCATTTGTTTAGGGACCTGACAGAGATTCTTTAAAGTATATCTAAAACCAAAAATGTTTTTTACATTTTGGATACAGTAGGTAATTTTTTTTTCTTTATCAGATCCTTTTTATTAAGTTTTTCTTTAAACAAACAATATAAAAGAAAAATATATAGCAACAAATATACCACAAATAAATAAAGAACAACCAAAACCAATAACAACACAAACCCTTCTCTCCTCTTCTACCATATACACATATCGATAAAACAGAATCCAGGAACTAACTAATTTACTGTAGGTCAAATCACCTTGGCATATATTATTATTATATAGGATTTATATAGCGCCAACAGTTTGTGCAACGCTTTACAATATAGGGAAGACATTATAATTACAATACAATTCAAGACAAGATGGTAAAGAGGGCCCTGCCCGTGAGGGCTTATGATCTAAGAGGGAGGGGCAAGAGGTACATGAGGAGGTAGCTGTGTGGGGATGAATTCTTTGAGAATGTGATAGTTCAGTGGCTAGTTTGAAGTGTGATAGGCTTCCCTGAAGAGATGAGTCTTTAGCGATCGCCGAAAGGCAGTTAGAGTGAGAGAAAGATTTACAGGTTGGGGTAAGGAGTTCCAAATAATGGGAAAGGCTCTAGAGAAGTCCTGGAGGCGAGCATGGGAGAAGTTGACGAGGGAGCTGTAAAGCAGGAGGTAATTGGAAGAGTGGAGGGGGCGGTTAGGGTGATACTTTGAGACAAGGTTGGAGATATAGCCGGGGCAGAGTTGTGGATGACTTTGTAAGTGGTTGTTAATATTTTTGAATTTTATCCTTTGGGCGATTGGAAGCCAGTGCAGGGATCGGCAGAGGGGGGTTGCAGACACTGAGCGGTTGGTTAGGTGGATAAGTCTGGCAGCAGCATTCATGATAGAGTGAAGGGGGATAATCTGTGTAGAGGTAGGCCAATGAGGAGGGAGTTACAATAGTCGAGACGAGAGATAATATAAACATAGAAACATTTACAACACTGATGTAATTAAAAAAAAAGCATAGAGACATGGAACTGGATTAGTCAAATTATATCTTGAGCTCACATTTATGACCCTCATATGTCTAAATCAGGGGTGCCCATTAGGTCGATAGCAATCTATCAGTCGATCGCAAAGCATGAGCTGCTCAGCCAGGATCTGACAGCCGACGGCTCTCTCTCTCCTCACTGCTTGACCATGCTGCTGTGACAGCGGCTCCCTCCACCGCTCCCCCGCCCCCGGCTGAAGTGCTTCCTTCACTTCTCATCGGATCCCCCGCTGCCTCTGCCTGGGAGAGCAGCGGGGATCTAGAGGAGAAGTTGCAGGCTGAGCCCCCCGGGGTGCGTGGCCGAGTGGCAGAGGATCAGTACATATCAGTGATATGTACCAATCCTCTGTGCAGGACAAACACTGGAGCGATCAGCTGATCACTCCAGTGTTTGTAAATAACTGGGGACACATATACTATGTGTCCCCAGTTATGAATGATCAGGAAGTGCTTTACATCACTTCCTGTTCATTTGTGACTTTCTCAATGGGGATTAGCACAATGTACAGAGGCTCCTCCCTGTTCAGAAACTGGATGATAGTAAATAGTTTCTGAATTCAGGGATTGGGGTTGTATTGAATTCAATGGCGCCGCAGGCATGCCCCCCGCCCACAGTGCGATCGCCCGCGTCCATAACGCAAGCACATTAGTGCCAGCTTTCCGGTCCAGTGCGGTCTGCAAAAAATAGTGCATGCAACATAAATCTGGCGCAAAGTGCGTCAAATATATTCCGTGCAGGTTCAGACAATTGCAATTGCCATGATAAATCCCCCCCATTGTGTTTTGCCTTTATGAAAACAGCAGTCAGTAGCAGTCTAAAACAAGAGCTGAAATCATAGCACACTAGTTGCTAGGGCACCCTAGCGGGCATAGGCTTCTGGCCTACTTACACATTTACACGCTAATATAATATCAAATATTGTAAAAACGTACAAAATCATTATGGAACCTAAGTTTGATTTAAAGGTCATAGTCTATGTGTATTGGCCCTTGAAAGCTATAGTAGTCACATGGCTACACTGCTGGCCAGAATGTCTGTTGCTAGTTCCAAGCAGGGGCAGAAGACACACCCAACCCAAATCATACGATTTTTTTTGTTACATTTTTGTTCATTTGGCTTGTCAGCTTTTATAATAACCACATATTGAAATTTAAATAAAAAGTTTATTTTGTTTGGCAATAAATGCCATGCTGTGTACTTGAAATGGATGTCTAGTGTCAAAATCTAAAGGACTTAATTGCATAATTAATACATTGAATTATATCTGTAGTAACAGTTGATATTTTAAAAATGACCACTGGTCAAGCTGGGAATGTTATCATTTCTTTAGCCTGCTGTGTCCTTTCCACTGTACATTTGCCTGTGCAAGCACCGTCCATCTCAGCTTAGAAAGGAAAGGGGGCCCCCCACTTGGCATCCTATCCTTGGGTTCCAGAGGACCTTGTCCTGGTACTGTCTGTTGTGTCAAGATGAGGGTCAGTGTGTTGTCTGAAGGTAATCTCTGTGAATAAAGTCAGTTATCTGCGGGCCTCATTCCCTATTCACGGGCCTTTCATCTTCAAAAAGGGATGATGGTAACGTTGAAGATTGTCATGACAGTAATTTTATGCTGCTGACATGAAATGCACTGGAGCCTTTTCAAACAAGATGACACAGGCAAAGCATGAACTGAAATGAAAAACCATACTGGCCTAGTTTCGCCAAGTTGCAATAATGCTAAGGTGCGCTAAAATGACATATTATAATATTGATTGAGATGCCACTTTAGCATGACTTAAGAGCTATTCAGCATGTCCTAAATGCTATTGCAGTTTGAGGAATCAGGGCCATTCGACGATATGTTTCAAACCGGGTTGACTTTTTCATCACTTTTCCATAACGGTTGCTCTCAGTGCTCAGTATTTACAGTGCTTTATTGTGTAAAAACCTTAGCAGAGTCCAATCAACAAAATCCCTAAATGCAGAACGAATTAATTAATATAAGAATAATTATTCATATTAATATGGATTTTAAGTAAAGATTTCTGTATTTCTATGGACTGTCCAATTTAGGAAAAGAAGATAAGACGTATAGAAATAACTCAGTCTTTCTGAGCATGCAGAGATATTTTATTTGATCTTTTTAGTGATAGCATTAGATGAAAGAAAACTGGAATATTATTGGTTGCTATGGGGTATAGAACTGAACTGAATTCATTCAGACCTTCTGTAGATGATTATTCAGGAAACAATGTTTTCCAATCAAGCTTTTGCGTCTAATCAAGCTTTCTCATAAAAGGTTTTTGGATACAGCTTTCAAATAACTTGCACAAATTACTAGATGGCAAATTCAATCTATGAAGAAATACATTTCTAGTACACTATGGGGTCTATTCACTAAGCTGCCGTAGGCAGCCGAGTGAATGACCGATCTGAAGCGAATTCACTTGAGGCTGGTACGGCTGATTTTAGCCGTATAGTGGCTGTTTTCTATTGGCCGGCGGTTCGGCCGTCAAAAAAAAGAAAGAAAAAAAAAAAATTTTTGCCATAGGAATGCATTGCTAGATTCCTATTGGCTTTTTCAATTTGCAATAGCCAATAGCAAACTAGCTATTGCACCCGCCCTCTGCTGCTGTCAATCACTAGTGGGGACCTGATGGAGAACAGCAGCAGTGGGCGGGTGCAATAGCTAGTTTGCTTTTGGCTATTGCAAATTGAAATAGCCAATAGGAATCTAGCAAGGCATTCCTGTGGTGAAAAATTGTTTTTTTTAAATTCTAACACCAGCCAACGGCTCCGTGCCACCTCTCCAGGGTGGCCGAGAGCGGGAGACTCCCGGAGCGCCCGTGAGAGTTAGGCTGTCTGGAGATCAGTGTCCCTGGTTAGCAGGTAACCAGGGATGCTGATCTCTCTGCAAGTGGCCGGAGCCAGCCGTAACATCATGGCTGGCTCCGCCCAGCTGTCAGCTGGCCGCTTGGCCAGCTTTGGTCTTTCACCTCGGCTAAGTCGAGCCAAAGCATATGCCTTCGGCTCGACTAAGCCGCCCGGCTGACTTCGGGAGCTGTACGAGCTATAGTGAATAGCCTGTACAGCAGCCCTTCAGTTCTACTAAACCGGAGGGGTCCCGGGGCAGAATTTAGCCGAAGGATCAGCCGAAGCTACGGATAGATCCTTTGGCTGCTTCGTGAATAGACCCCTATGTTCAGTCTTTAAAGTGATAGTAAAGTCAAAAGGTTTTAGATGCTGATTAAATCACGTACATACATGCTGCTCCTTGATGTTTAAAAGGTATAGCTTCTTGCAGAGCACTGGCCCTGATATCCTGTTTTAGGGTGACTCCTTTCCCATGGAGCCACCCTTGTGTATGTTAGTCAGCTGTGTGTGACTCCACAAACACAGACACAGCAAGGCAATCCTCTCCCCTTGTCCCTGATCCCCACTCCTCCTTCCTCTCTTCTTTAAGCTAGTAGATGAATGGCTCCTGGAGACTGTTCTGTCCCTTGTGAGCTTGAACTGGACAGGAAGTTCGGGGAAGCCACACTGAGAGAGTTGGAGCCAGCTGTTTGTAAACATGATGAATGTAAGTGCTCAGGCAAAAATGTAAAGAAATATTCTGCTGGGCAATGTATATTTGTTTGATCTGGATGCATTATTGAATACACGTCTGAGAGTTTAATACTACTTTAATTCTTCCAAAAAGGTTACATATGTCTGTGGACCTAATTATTCATTTTGAAATCTATGCCTGTAAAGGATGTTGCCAGTTGCTATTTAATATAGAGGACTGCAACATATGCATTACACTATTGGTATTATGCATCAAGGCAGTACAAAATGCAGTAATTCATAGCAACCACATTTTTTTTTTTACTGAAATCTGTTTAAAAGATGATTGCTGATTGATTTTCATGGATTTCTAAACTTTCCATTTTGTTATTTGCCTTCATCAGTTCATCTCTGGCACCTATATACCCCTTATGGACCAAAGCAATTTTTATGTTTCAATCTATAGACAAAGATGAAACAAAATTTTAAAAAATCACTTTTTTTCTAGTTTAACCAGTATTAGTTTTAAATCAATAAGGCATGTTTTTTTTAAAAACAATTTACAGAGCCATTTGTCCAGCAAAATTGCATGTACATTCATTCTGTGTGAATGGAGGCAAAAACAAATGTTATTAACATATTTTCTTTTATGATCGAATATAATATTAGATAAATTCTGCATTATGGCCACTAGGTGGAGCTGAGGATCATAAGAAATAAGTATATAGGAATATCTGCTCCTGTGTAAATAAGACAAGTGCCGACTGCCAAAATTATTGCTGGGAATCGGTAGTAAATGTAGCTAGAGAGCTGTAGAAAGGAGAAGGGACTGGGTGTCCTAATGTATTTCTTGTTGTTTTTGTGTGTGACATGCCCAGTGTCTACAACTGGTATAATTAATATATCTATATATTTAAAGAGACATATAGCTCATATATTTCTCCTATATGTACAGATGTAATGTTTTGACATAAGGCACTGCATATAATTTGTACTTAAAAGTGAGAATTCAATTCTGGTTTAATTTAAGATAACATTAAACACATGCTCACTCACTGGTACACATGGCACCCAAAAAGTAAATGCAAAACATAATTTGATCTGAAACACACTGAGGGTGATTTACTAAAGGAGTTGAGAATGTTCGGACAAAACGGTGATGTTTTACTTCAATTATCCAATCATGTGCAAAGCATCAGGCAAATTTATGAATATTTATTTCGGGGTCTATTCACTAGGGAGCCGAAGGATCTAGCCGTAGCTTCGGCTGATCCTTCGGCTGATCCTTCGGCTCTCTTCGACCGCCGGAGCCCTTCGGTGCAGTCGAACCTAAGGGCTGCTGTGCAGGCTATTCCCAATAGCCCGTACAGCACCCGAAGGCGGCCAAGCGGCTCAGCCGACCCAAAGGCATATGCTTCGGCTCGCCTCAGCCGAAGTGTCAGACGATGCGGAGAGAAGAGCCTGCCGAAGGGTCGGCCGTAAGCCCCGCAAATGAAAGCTGGGCGGAGCCAACCGTGATCTCACGGCTGGCTCCTCCAAGTTGTAACAACAGATCACCGTCCCTAGCTGTCACTGCTAGCTCCGCCCAATTGTTTTTTTTCTTTTTAAATAATCTTAAATTATTTTTTTAAATGTAATATTTATTTACATTTTTAAAAAGATTTTTTTTACTTTTTTTTTTTTACTTTTTTCACTATTTGCTATTCTGCTCAGTACCACAGAGGTACCAAGCAGAATACCCGAGCCGAATGCCGCTCTGCGGCATTCAGCTATTCACTTGCTGCCATTCAGCCCCTATGTGAATAGGGGCGAATGGCAGCGAGTGAGCTGCCGGAGCTTCGGCTCAGCCAATCCAGATGTTGGATTGGCTGAGTCGAAGTCCTTCTGCACTTCGGCGCAGCCGAACATGCAGAGCAGGTTCAGCTGACCGAAGTGCAGTGGAAGGCAGCTGATGTACGGCTGATTTCAGCCGCACTGAGCCGTAGTGAATAGCCGAACGTTGATCGGCTCATTTCACTATGGCTCGGCTATTCACTCGGCTGCCTTTTTGCAGCTTTGTGAATAACCCCCTTAGTCTGCACACCAATGGATAAAGAATCTTCACTTTGTGTGTGTGATTATTCTCAACTCTTTTATTAAATCAGCTTCATTTTAAGGTGTTGCTAGGAAAAGGACACTTACACTTTTGACTGATTTGCTATTGATGCCTAGCAAGGATTACGTGCTTTTTTCCCCCTCTAATGGTCTCTAGGAAAAATCACATTCTCAAATTATTCATTCGTTGGACTATAAAAGTATTTATTTAGAGATACAAAGAAAACAACTTGATAATATTCAGACTCAAAGCTCACTACTATGTCTTACTATGAAATGTATGAATCATCTAGTAGATGTTTTCTGGGATTATGCCATCTGTTTAGATTTTCCTTTCAGAGAACTACTTTGATATCGAGTATATCCTACTTGCCACCTTGACTAAAGCCAGTGTGATTTAAACACAGCACAGCATCCTACAATAAGCAGAACACCTTCAGGAAAAAGAACTGAGGGCTGCCAGCATACATAGATAACTCTGGATATCCTTTATTATCCTGAACAGGGGCATCACTAGACTTTTTGCTGCCTGTGGGTTCCTGGATGCTGCATGCAATCAGTGGTGGGTAAGAGGTTTGAGGTTGCTGGTGGAGGGTGACAGTGCTAAGAGCCAGTGAGGAGATGTGTAAGATCTGCATGTGTCTGCATCTCCCCGCCCAGCTCTTAGCAACCAGGGATGCTCTGGCCGGCATCCCACCCAGCTCCTGGCAACCAGTGATGTCACCGGTTGCCTGGAGCTCAGCTGGATGCCCTGGTTGGCGTCCCACCAAACTCCTGGCAAGGGCATGCCAAGTTGCAAAGAGCTGGGTGGGGAGATGTATATGGCCCTTACACCTCTATCCACTTGGCTTTTGCCAACCTGGGATGCTGTAGCTGGAAAGGGGGTGGCAGGCACACCGCAAACATTGTGCAGCAGATCAGTCATGCCGCTCTGCCTGCCACCCTCCCTTCGTGAACCAAAGAGATGCCACCTGAGGCAACAACCTCAGGCTGCCTCATTAAAGGCATGGCCCTGATTATAAACACATGTATTCACCTTATACTATAAAGTCTAATCATCACTTTCCCCTTCCACTTTAACTACATATATTGATCCATTATCTTGTTATAGTAATATCTTTCCCAGGTCTCCAGTTATATATCTTGTAAGCTGCGGGTTTTTTTTTTAATGTGAAATTTAAAGCTTAAAAATGCTTAATGTGCAACATATTTTGTAGCAGCAATTTCAGCTCAAGCAGAGACGCAAATACTTTCATATCATGATAATATTCTATGGGGTTGATTTACTAAAGGCATATAGACTGTTTACTTTGCAAGGGAATTTGCCCTTTAGCTTAGTGAATCAGGTAACGCTCTGCTGACTTCCATCATTGCATGTGATTGGGTATTTTGTGCAAAGTGAAATTTTACCACATTCACTAAGGGAAAATTGCCTTAAAAAGTGAACAGCCTATTTGCCTTTAGTAAATCAACCCCCATGCCTCCTTCTCTCCTTTTCTTATACTGTGATGTCCTATGTCCATTTAACAGGTGTCTAGTCAGACGTCAGTATCCTGAATCTACGGACAGTTCCGGGAATTCATCACCAAATTCAGACATAGCAGGGTTGCCAGCATCAACTGGAATATGTGGTGAGGATGTAAATATGTAAAAGCCACTGCCATTATTGTGGAAGCCACCAACATTTATGTTTGTATAGTTGAGTTCCAGGAGGTATACAGGCAGGGCTGGATTTCCTATTTAACACAGTAGACATCTTACTAGCCCAAAGGCGCCAGAGGAAATGGGGTGACACGGTTGTCTGTTATAAACTAACTTACATACTGTCAGAATATTCGAAAACAGATTAGAAGCAGCACAATAAGAAAAACTATTGTTTTGTAAAATAGATAATTCAGCAGAGGGGGGTTGGTTTGAGGGCCCTGTATAGAGAGTATTTTTATTGTCCTTATTACCATTAATTTGATCAGAAAACATTTGGAATATAATTGAAGCAATGATACAATGGGATATAAATATCTAATCCCAACCATCTAGTTTTATTGATGTAGTGGTGTTTTCAAATAATATGTTCAATATGTAGCATAGGTAGTGTACAACATTTATTAAACTGTGATAACCCAGTAAGTAGCCTTCACCACTTCTCCTACCAAATGTGAGGGACATTTCAAAATTAATCTGTAAACTGACTAACATTTATTCTTCTAAAGCCATGTAAGGGGCCCCAAAATTTCTGATGGCTGCCCTGCCTGCCTGTCTAAATATACAAAGCTGGTGACCCTGGCTCGGTCAGACAAAACAAAAAAATGGAAGAGGATAACTTTAAGTGATATTAAATTCAAAAGGGTTTTAAGCTATTTCAAATGCTGATTAAATCACTTACAATGGATGCTGCTCCTTGATGTCTAAAAGTTTTAATTTCCTGCAGAATCAGCTGATCACCTGAGCACTAGCCCAGATATCTTGTTTTAGGGTGGCTCTTGTGTGTGCTAGTAAGCTGTGTGTGTCTCCACAAGCACTTACACTCTCAGTGTGTAGGACACTCCTCTTCTGTCTGTTCCTCATTCCTCCCTTCTCCAAGCTTGTTGCCGGAGACTGGTTTGTCCCTTGGACAGGAAATTTAGTGAAGCAGACCTGAGAGAGTTGTAGGTGTTTAGAAACATAGGGGTCTATTCACTAAGCTGCCGAAGGATCTAGCTGTAGCTTCAGCTGATCCTACGGCTAGCTTTGGCCCCAGGACCCCTTCGGTTCAGTTGAACCGAAGGGCTGCTGTACGGGCTATTCACTATGAACCGTACAGCTCCCGAAGTTGGCCGAGCGGCTCAGTTGAGCCGAAGGCATATGCCTCAGCTCGACTTAGCCGTGGTGAAAGCCGAACCTGGCCAAATGGCCGGCCATTGGCTGGCCGACAGCCTGCTTCTGACAGTTGGGCGCAGCCAGCCGTCATCTCATGGCTGGCTCCGGCCACTTTCAGAGAGATCAGCGTCCCTGGTTACCAGCTAACCAGGGACGCTGTCATTACACACTGAGAGCGGCCTGCCGTGCTCTCAGTGGGTAATGACAGAAGGCGTTCCTGGTTACCTGGTAGTGCGCGGCAGTGTGAATGAGGTCTAACACAGTGGCAATGTCCTGACTGGATACTGGATGTACTTGAGTGGGACAGGTGGTCATTTTTAAATACAGCAGACTTTGTCATGATGGTGGTTTTCAACTTAACAACATTTGGGAAACACTGGTTCAGATTAACAGAGCCCATTGTACCAACTAGGGTTCTTAAACAATCCCTATGCTCATGAGCATCAAAATGTTTGTGAGACAGACAAACGTTTGTTTGTTTTGGAAACGTTTCACTGAGAACAGACATGAATGAATGTATTTTGTAGGCATGCTGTTTTGGCAAGCCTAACATCTTCATTCATGTTCACACCTGACTGTCATTTCATTGATCGCCAAAATGACTCATATTATCTCTTTATTATTCCCAATTATTGTCTAGATTTTCATCTCACTTCAAACAAAGGCAGCACACTCCGGATCAATGAATTCATTAAAAACATAGAATTATGCTTTTATACTCCTAATCAGATTCTTGTAACTCATTTCAATACATATCAGGTGGCTTTGTAAATCAGTAACGTAGTACAAAGTATAAATCTGGCTCCCATGATTTCTGTTAGCTATCTAGAGAATTATTGGGAATATAGGACAATAGGATTGTTAAATATAAACCATAGGATGTGCATTGTAACATTTCAAATGTAGCCATACTTTTTTATAGCAGGTGTGAAAATGAAAGAGTTTTTATAAAGTGGAACTGCTAATTAAAGTGAAACTGAAACATTCCAGCAAATACAGATCCTAGACTTGTCATTATAGCTTATGGAGCTCAGCTGGGCACATGTAGCCCGCTGAATCTGAAGCACACCTGACCAGGCCAATGTTAGGTGAACACCAGGTTATGGAGGTTTTTTTGGGGTTGTTCATGTCCTTGATGCTGGGGGTGGATAAACACAATTATAATTATAGATCTAGCTAAAGGTGGCCATACACTTTACAACCATTGCAAGACTGGTATGAATCCACCGGCGTCAATCCACATTAACAGGATGCAGGTGGATTCATACCTCGCCGTCTACCTTGCTATCACACAGGGTCTTGTTATCTCCTGTGTTATAGCAATAAAGGTAGGTGGGAAAAAAAATTACATTGATTTTAAAAATTTTTTTTTAATAAAAAAATAATTCCTTAGACAACAGACGTGCGACCGTACAGTAGAAACGGTCGCACGTCTTCATTCACACTGCACGAATCTTGTACGATCGCGGGATTTCCTGCGATTCTCCTACGAGAATCGTGCAGTGTATGGGCACCTTAAAACTAAGGAAATGAATTAACATTATGCTTTTTTAAAAAGCAAACAAAAGTAATCCCTGCATATTATTATATTTCTCCTGCAAATATAAATCATAAATATGTAAAAGTAGGTACTTTGAGCCAATTATCTTTTCTGACAATGGACCATAACCTATCTCTTCTCAATTCTCTAGGTGGCTTTTCAGAGACATACGCTGCTCTTTGTGACTACAATGGTGTGTGTTGCAGAGAAGAGGTGCAGTGGGTAAGCAACTCAGCATACTGACCAGATATAGTAAGGAAGGGTGGTTGTAGTGTCAGCAACAGATGGTGCCATGCCATAGAATTGGAAAAATGGTCAACAGCACTCCAAAGCTGATGAAATCAGTGTAAATGTGTTTACATAGCATCACATAGGTCAAAATAGCCAATGTTTTGGGGCCACACAGAGTACCTTACTCAAGGTGACACAGTGACCACAGCGTCACTGTGTCATTTTGAGGAAGGGACCCTGCAGGTCCCCAAAACATAGTTATTTTGACCTATGTGATGCCATGTCAATAAATGTACGCTGATTTCATCATATTTAGAGTACTGGTGACCCTTATTCCAGTTTGAGCACATTAAGGTAATATTTCAGGCCAGCAGCTGAATACAAAGTTGAAACACAATGATGCTGACTGTGTTACCCGCTAAAACATTAGTAATCCTGTTCATCTAGTCTTGTGATTCTCATTGCACAGAAAACTAATTCCTAGTCCAGTGAGCAGTAAGGATGCATTTAGATGATCTAAGAGCCTGAACCTGGGATACAGGGTATTAGCTGTCGTATTGTGTAGAGACTGTGTGGTGCACAAGGTTGGCTAAACAATTAAAAAGCATTTGACAGGTAAATAGTAAACATATATGGATTTCAACTTTGAAGGGATTCTATCGCAAATCTAAACAGCTATTTCAGGGGCTTCTGATGAAAGCTGCCATTGCTTGCTGCTCTTCCTCCAGAGCAGTGTAGCTGACTGCACTTGGCTTCACTGCAAGTCTAAGTCAAGTCTAAGTCTAAATCTAGGATGTGACCTGTAATTCAAACAATGCCCGCTTCCATCAGAGCCTTCTGAAACAAGCATTCAGCTCCATAAAAGATTCTGTAAGGAGTCAGCTAAATAAAAGATTATCTTTAAACTAATAAGCAGTCAACTATACACTATATAGGTAATAATTGTCCAAAGATGTAAAAAGCTGTGTCTCATTTTAGGATGTGGACATGATTTATCACTCTCAGGACAGCCGGGAGTTTAACCTGCAAGACTTCAGCCATCTGGAAAGCAGGTCAGAGAGTAAAGGTAGATGTGAGGTGTGAACATTCACTGGCTGAGTTTTTTTCTAGTTACATCATACATTTTGTGTTTCACAGGGACCTGGCTCTGGTTGTTGCTGCTCTCGCGTACAATCAGTATTTTCTCAGGCTCCAGGCCGCAAATCTCAAACTGGTAAGCACGGACTAGATTGTACATACTTTGTGCCAAATGATTAGTATGTGCTTATATTTTTTATGTTTTTTTTATTGTAGGGATCAGAGGTGACAGAGCAGATCCTGCACTGCGTGGGCCGATCGCAGCACCTAGAGGAGCTAATCCTTGAGGACTGCGGACTGAGAGCGTGAGAGAGGGTGACAGAGAAGGAGGGTTATATAGATGAGATACTGAGATAAGGGTAGAGAGGGAGATAGGAACATATGGGCCATGTTGGGTGGATTTAGAAATCTGAAGAGTGAGAAGCAAGAGGGGAAGGGATAGGCTTATCGGGAAAAACAGGGACTCTTAAAGTGACATTATAACCTCAGATTTTTTAACATAAACCAATACTGTAATGTGTGCCTTACTGTAATCCATGGTTGTTTGCCTTCTCTTTGCTGCTCTTCCTTTTAAATCCGTATCTCTTCTCATGCTGGGGGATAATTTCCCTTTGCAGCTGAGTGCCTCTTCCTGTAGTGCTGGCTCAGGTTGTGAACCTACACACAGACACCATGTATCCATTTCAGAGACAAGGCAGTCTGCTGCAAAACAGAAGTTCTGCCCAGCATGAGAAGAGATACAGATTTAAAAGGAAGAGCAGCAAAGAGAAGGGAAACAACCATGGATTACAGTAAGACACACATTACAGTATTGTTTTATGTTCAAAAATCTGAGGGTTTCATGTCACTTTAAGAGTAACAAAGGGTCTGTTGTTCAGCCTATTGCGTAAATGATTGCATAGTTATTAGGCATACCAGTCTAGAAGGCATAACCAGAGTATCTTCATCTTATACAATATGGAGTGAAGGGGAAACTTACAGCTTAACAGTCAAAGAACATGACAGCATGACTGGACAGAATAAAGTTGGAAGTAATGAATATGATGTCAGACTAGTTTTGTTATGTCCAATAGCACAGTACTCCCTCTCTCTCTCTCACCCCTTATCTCTCTCTCTCTCTCCATTCCTCCTCTCTCTGTCCCTCTCTCCTGCAGTGATTTTGCTCTCCGCTTGGCCTCTGTTTTGGCAGATAATTCAGTCTCCTCATTGCATTCACTGAACCTATCACACAACCCGCTGGAAGACCGAGGTAATCCAACTTCAGCATTCTGCATTCATGTAACTGTCCCATGGCCACTTATACCTGCCGTGAAAGCATGAAATCATGTTCAGCATTTAAGCTGGCCATACATCAGTAGAATTTTGTTTCGAATTTTGATTATTTAATACTTAATAGGGTCAAATCAACGACCCTTCTCATTCCTGTAGTAATTAAAATAATTAAAGGAGCAGGATGGAAAATCAGTGAATGTGGTTTCCATTCGAGATACTCCTTTCATTACAACATCGAATGTTAAAATCCAAATTTTGAGAAACATTCTACAAGTCTCTGGTGGCATTATTGAATGTTCTGATTACTTTTTTCATATATATGTTAGTTTACAATTCTAACAGTGTATGGCCAACTTTACTTCTTCTGGTCATAAAGTGTTACAAACTTGTTAAACAGATTTATTATACTTAGATTTCATTTTACACTTTCCTCTAGGAATCTCAGCACTCTCTCAGCAGTTTCTGTATTTTCACGCCGGACTTCGGAGCCTAAACCTGAGCAAAACAAACATTACATCTAGAGGTACAGGGATGTATGATGTTGTGTGGCTTTTTGATATTTTATCATGGTAACTTATTGTATTCGTATTTATTTATTATGTATGAAAGGAAATGATGTCAGGAATGGGTGGCTGATGCACTGCAAATGACACCACTGTGCCTGCATAATGTAGTGTATGAATGTATATTACTGTGGAACTTTCTCTCTGTAGGAGCACTCTCTCTGTGTCAGTCTCTCTGCCAGAATGCTCTCTTCTCCTCCTCGCTGCACTCTCTGACCCTCAGTAAGAACCCTGGACTTCTCGGGAGTGAGGAGACCAATGTGAGACTGACCCCTAACAACAAAAAGCAGATATAATGCATGCTTTTATAGTTCATCTATCTATCAATACCTAATTTATAGCATAACCTTTCCAATGGCTCTCTACTTTCTTGCATGCCAGCCGGTCCTTTCCACATATACACTGTATCCCATATACACTAAGCATGTGTGTTTGCAAATTACCGAACGTCTTTCTTATATGTTTTTCATTCGTTCATTTTATTCATCCTGTAATGTACCTTCTATATGTGATTTAGAGTGCTCTGTTCTTCCTTTCGACTACTTAAGCTGTTTAAAAAAAAAACAATAGAAAATTGGTACTAAAATATGTGTAGAATTGAATCTGACTAAAGTGGGTGCAAAGTGTTTGTATTGAGGGTTATGCAGCAGATAATGCTGTATGCTAATATAGTAATGGCATGCCCATGTTATATTATAGTATCATACTACAAACCTCCAGTTCATAACTTATTCCATGAGTTTGTTAGGAGGCCAGAGAGGCAACAGATCTAGGAGGAGGAAGCGACTAGGATCTCAGAACATCGGAAGTATGTGCAAACTGTACTGTACATATACCTCTATGCATAGATCACAAGCAGGCACACGAACACTATATTGGATTGAGCTGTCTACTTCTTTTGTATTACACAGTGCTAAAGTTTCAGATGCTTTTCTGGACTGATTGGGAGAGAAGGGGGATATTAGGAGGGTGTCCTGTTTTAAACAGTTGTGTTATCTGTGAAGGTAGTTTTGCCACTGCTGCAAAGAAAGAAAAACAGAAATCTCACCATCCAGATTCATACAGCTCCTGTATAACCAGATACACAGCCATACACTGCGCAGAGATGGTCCAATTTAGAACTGGAACAGGCTACTAATGGGAAAATATATATATTAAAATCAGTCTTTTATTGATAGAACAGGAGGAAACATCAGACAGTTATGCATTTTAAATCAGTAAGTGTCTTTCCTTACCTGCAGCAGTACTAATAATAAACAAAACCTTCATTATTTGTCATTAGTATGGAGTCTCTTATTCTCTCTCTATATTGTGCATACTGTATGTGCAATCCCATTCTGAGATATCTACAGCTGTATAACCCCTCCTTAAAACACTTACCCATTGCTAATATTTCCATTATATGACAGGAAATCTATGCTTTTAGGTTTGCTGTAGAGAAACCTTTCTGAAAGTCATCCTTTGCCACCATGTGGTACCCACTACCCTTACTGCTACTTTATAATCCACTTACCTTTAAACCTCTTTCTTCTGCACACTCTTAATAACTAATACATTTCTGTTTTTCCAGGCACTTTATACTTTTCTGTCCCATCCAAATTCGTTGGTTTATTTGGATCTCTCAGGAACAGACTGTGCTGTAGACACTGTAAGAGAATGGGAGCAGTGATGTGGGTGCCGTGGTTATGGATGATAGCTGTATGCCTATAGTGAATGACTCTTGGTGGAATGGTGGAAAAGAGCTGTACAAGTGTTTAAATGCTTGCAGAGAACATGATGGTAGCAATAGTGTGAGGCTGGCTTTGGATAAGGAGCGTTTAGATGGAGAATAAATATGTTTATTTAGGATATCAGTTAATTGGCTAGAGATAACCAAGTACTATGGTCTCTTCTTTCAGATATTTGGGGCATTGGCTCTTGGTTGCTGCTCCTGTCTCTCACATCTTGATCTCTCTAAAAACTCTCTATCACACCGGTAAGCTTACTTGATCTCGAAATTATTTTGATTTATTTTATATATAAGGGTGATGCTTGGAGTTTACTTTAGATATTTTTTTAGATGCTATCACTGTTGAAGATGATGATTTTGTTAGAATGACAAGTTTTAAAGGAACGCTATATTGTAATATTAGGGAATGTACACTCACTGGCACTTTATTAGTTACACCTATTCAACTGCTTATTAACCCAAATATCTAATCAGCCAATTACACGGCAGCAACTCAATGCATTGAGGCTTGCAGACATGGTCAAGATGATCTGCTGATCTTCAAACCGAGCATCAAAATGGGGAAGAATGGTGATTTAAGTGACTTTGAACGTAGGATGGTTGTTGGTGCCAGGCGGGCTGTTCTGAGTATTTCAGAAACTGTCGATCTACTGGCTACAATTGCAAGGATTCATCGGACAATAGAAGGTTGGAAAAACATTGCCTGGTCTGATGAATCTCATTTTCTGCTGTGTCAGTCTGATGAACAATAGAAAAATCTCACCAGCACACCATAAGTTGAAAAAGCAAAATATTTTATTGCCAATAGCTGTATCTCATTGGCAAGCGCTTTCGGGTCCTTGCAGGGTCCCCTTCATTAGGCTTAGATGATGCAATTTTTCTTTTGTTATGTGTGCCGGTGACATCCGCAGTCATTTCAAACAGCCATCTTCATCAAGTGGGAATCCCGGTAAAGAGTGCGGTATGGTTCCTGTTTCAGTCTGATGATCAGGTCACAATGTGGCATAGACAACATGAAAGCAGGGATCCATCCTGCCTTGTATCAATGGTTCAGGCTGGTGGTGGTGTAATGGTGCGGAGGATATGTTCTTGGCACACTTTGGGCCCCTTCATAACAAATGAGCATTGTTCAAACGCCGCAGCTTCCTGAGTATTATTGCTGACCATGTCCATCCCTTTATGACTGCAGTGTACTCGTCTTCTGATGGCTACATGCAGCAGGATAAAGTACCATGTCACAAAGCTAAAAGTATCTCAAACGATTTTTTTGAACATGATAATGAGTTCCTTGTACTCAAATGACCTCCACAGTCAGCAGATCTCAGTCCATAAGAGCACCTTTGGCATCTGGCGGAATGGGGGATTTGCATTATAAATGTGCAGCTGAGAAATCTGCAGCAACTGTGTGATGTTTTCATGTCAATATGGAAACTCTCTAAGGAATGTTTCCAGCCCTTGTTGATTCTATGCCACGAAGAAGGCAGTTTTGAAGACAAAAGGGGGTCCAACCCAGTACTAGCAAGGTGTCCCCGCAACCTCTTCTTCCCTGGGCTCCGGCGCTCTAAGGATCCGTGACATCACCATGTCTCATACAGGTCCATTGACTTACATTAGATGTGAGGACGCCGAGGGACATTGCATAGTTTGAGTGGAGGGGGAGAGAGCTGAGCGCTGACCAATGCGGGACAGATGATCAGGTGTGTACAACAGCTTTATTTGAGCCCCCTAGACAAAACAAGCACTTAACCCTTGCAGTGTGGGGGTAACCCTGCCGCAAGGGTAAGTTTTTGATTTCCCCAGACTTCTTTAAAGTCTTTGTTTTACCTTAATAAGATAATGTTTTGCTTGGCTAAGGTTCGAGAACCTGCATGTGTAACATCAAATTGAGATTTTTACCAATATACAGTGAGTGGCCAGATTATTATGACCACCCCATCAGTACTTCGTTGGGCCACGAGATAACTCCACGAGATGACTTCGTTGGGCGGCCTCGTGACTCCACGAGATGTTGAAAGGTGATGCGAGGAATCTGACACTGCACTGTTGCCCTTCTGTTGTCTTGTACCAGTCTTGCCACTCTCCGTTCTGCCCTAACATTGACTAGTCGCTGACGGCCACAATTCGCACGTTCAGACCCAGATTTCCAGCTGACAATCCAGTCTTTAAACACTTTAACAACAGCTGCTCTTGAACATTTAACGCATTCTGCTGTTTTGCTGACTCTCGCTCCATTGCGTGAGCGCCAACAAGCATCCCACGTTCAAAGGCTGTTAAATCGCGTTGTTTACCCATATCTTCAGAAAAAAATCACATCTACTGTCGTGGAAAACAACCTACTTCCCTATTTAAATGGTCTGGCCCTCTAGCAACTTCAGCGCACAATTATAGCTAATTATAGCTAATAATCTGGCCACTCAGTGTATACTGTATAATTATAAACTATACAGAGTTTTTTTAACATGAACACATATCAATAACATGATTTACATCCAGCTAATTTATTTACATGTATATGTAAAAATTCTGATAGGACTATACATTCTGTCCCGGACAGGCGTACTCCGGAGACACTGCCATCTGTGGAGAAGTTTTTCGGCAGCTCTTTGTCACTATCCCACATATCACTGAGTGGAACCAAAGTGCCCCCAGAGCTCTTGAGGTAAGAAATATAGTTTCCTATTTGTCTTTTCCGTAACAAATGTCGTGGAACTTTATAGAAGCAGTAAACCTTGGCTGCGCGCCGATGCTTATTTCTGTGAAAGAAAAACAATGGAGGACTGGACAATTGCTCCTAACCCATCAATATAACATTTCTTACAATGCAAGTATCTGAAAGTATTTTTGGTGATAGATTTTGTCTCATGCCCTGCTAAATTGTCATAAGAATTTTGCTTCCTAACTATGGTGTTTTAAAATGCACGATAATGAGGCATTCACTTGTTAAAGAGGACCTTTCATTTCTTACCTTTTAGATGTGTCTTTAGTGAAGGCCTTTGTACTACTCTGAACAGTTTGGTAGTGAAGCTAGAGGGACAAAATTGGGGACAGATTGAGCTTCCTCCTATTAACATACTATACTGCTAAGTCTTTAACTCTTTGTTAGGAGAGACACTTGCGATTACTTGCCGTCACTTCATCACTTCAGGACGGTAGCCGGACAGCGCAGCCGACGGATGGGATTGTGACTCAGAGAACTAAAAAGCAGCCGGCGGCCACTTAATCGATCTTACTGCTTCCTGGGTCACAGCGGCCACTTAATTGATCTTACTGCTTCCCGGGTCACAGAGTTCTCCTTAGGGTAACGGGGGGACACAAACTAGCGTCCTCCCATCACCCTAGGCTCAGTATACCGTGAGCTGTAGCTCGCGGTATACTGAGACGCCGCAGCTAAAGCGGATCCCGACAATTATGTCTGGATCCGCCCAGCTGCGTGACTGACAGCTGGCTCTGCCTATCTAGAGGCAGAGCCAGCTGTACCCGCCCCCTCCCCCGTCCTTTCTGCCAGTCAGCGCTGGCGGATCGGAGCGGGGAGGGGGGAATCCAGCCCCTCCCCTGTCACGGCAGAGAGCGTTGACAGGATCGAGAGGTGAGCAAACGCCGGTATGTGTTCGCTCACCTCCCGATCTACTAAGCCGACCTGTGACAGTCTCATTGTCACAGGTCGGCTAGAACTATGAGGTGAGTGAAAAGCACTCACCTCATAGTTCTCCTTTAAGGTTTTTTGAATGTGTGTTTAAGATTTAACTCCCTGAGTTTAGCATCACTTTAAGTGAAGAACCCAGCCACATGACCTTTCCGTCATGAAACATTCTCGACAGTCGGCACTGTTATAGGCTCTATACCCCAGCCTACATTTTATGGAGTACTTGTATAATGGAGGTGCAGTGCGGTGTAAATACTGCATTGCGAAGTGAAATGTAATATAAATAGGCCCCTAAGATTGTAAACATAACCTGTGACGGTGTAATCCTGTGTTCACCAACACATTGTATAGGCCACAGATGATTATCCAGAAACAAAGAAATCCAGAAATGCAATTGAGCTGCAAGAATGTTTTATTTATTAGTGTACCGCAGCTTGCCACATGCACACCACATGCCTTGTTTATCCGGTATGTTCCTTGAAAGATCTGATGTCATTTATTCTGCCATCTGGCAATTATGTTGCATTGAATATTAAACAGCACAGCTAGCGTAATGTCCAGTTCTCATACTAGTCAGATTCTTTATACCCCTCCTCCATGTCCACAGAGACGATCATAGGTGGGAGTACAGTGCTCATTCACACCACTCTGCTTGTGGAAATCATCAGAACACATGTACCTTCACATTGTGTGCACAGCCTGATGTGTTCTTTTGCATTTTTTATGTGCCTAGATAATCATTCATGTTTAAAGCATAGTCCACCTTGAATAGTGCAAAATAAGTGCTCACATATTCTTAAAAGAAAAAATTTGCATTTACTATTTTTTTGCATTGGAGCCCGTAAAGTATTGTAACCTCCATCAATGGATCATGGGTTCAATGCTCTTGCTCCTGCAGATTTTCCCTCTTACCAAGGTGTGGACATTCAGGAACATAAAGGAAGCATGAATGGACTAGACTGGAAGAATGAATGGTAATGTTACCATGCTTCATTCAGTCAGAGTCATAACCCTTTTAACGGCTCCGCCTCCAATCCTGAATAACTCCAAAGAAGGGAATAACAAAAGAAGACTTCCATAGTCTTCCATTTAAGTATACCAAGTATATTCAATTATATTCCATTCCAAGTATACCATTTAAAACAATTTTATTAAAACTGGTTGAAAAACTCACATTGTCTAAAAAAGAATAGAATTTATTAGCTCATCCCTGTCCAGCAGTGTTCCCCTAATCCGTGTCTGCCTGCTACTTCCGGGAATGCGTGATGACGTCGGCAAGTACCCACTCACTCAACGCGTTTCATCATAGTCTTCCTCAAGAGTGGTGTACCACTTGTAGTTTCTCCATTCACAGATCCTGTCAAAGGATCTATGAATCGATGTCACGACTGTGTGGGCAAAGCCACACTATTTTTAAATAACAGCAGCAGCCTGCAGGGAGAACTCTGCAGATCAGGTGGCTGGGGAGGGGGTGTTGTGGGGTGACCGTGATGTCACTATGTTTCATGTTACACCCTGAATGTGGGTATAACATAAAACATGGTATAAAACATAAACTTAGCCTTTAGGATGGACGTTTCATATGCAATGAGGTGCATAAACACATTAGTATGGTTAAGCCCTAAAAGGAGACGTAGAATGTTTTCATATATGCAAATAGGTAGAAAACGTTAGGAGTCTTTAGTGAGTTGATTGAAGGCTACATTAAGCAGCATGCTCATATTCTGTAATTAGCTTCATCTTCCTCTTCCAGAGCCATGTTGCAGGGTTTATGTTCCAACACTCACCTCCAAGAAGTTCACCTTGACTTAAGCAGCTGCGAGGTAAGATTTAGCTAGGTGATTATTAAGAGCATTTTGCATTTTTTTAATGTAAACTTGAATATCCAATCTTAAAATTATTTTTAAATATACTTTCCTCATCTGGATCACTGTGCCAAAATGTAGTAATCTACATTGATAAGACGCCCTGGTTTGTTATTTCACAATACCACTTACTGTATATGTACTCCTCAGTACATTAGCGTTATACACTTACATGAATTTTTACTTTTGGTCTTTTAATTTGTAAAACATGTGCTTATGTTTTAATTTTTAGCATCAGTTATTTTAAATAAAATATATGTGGCCCTTTATTATCATCATTATCGTTGTTTTTAAAAAATGTTCCTTTATGACCCCTATACACTTTTTTTCTATTCTGCTTCTCTTTCACCACTCTGTTTGAAAATGTACTTATAACGGTACTTCCTTATGGTTTAAGTTGCGTGCTGCAGGTGCTCAGATATTACAGGACCATTTTCCTCCCATCAGCAGTGTTGGAAGCCTGAATATATCTGATAATGGTGAGAAGTGTTTTGTTCTGATAACTTATTTGTTGTTGCTCTGTGTGCTACATATACAGTATTCCAGCTTTTTTATTATTTTTGCCTGGGGTGCCCCCTTAAAATCCATACCAGACCACTGTCAAGGATAAAGGTTTGTTGTTGATCTTTTTTGGATCAGTTTTAAACATGAGGCTCAGAAAACTTGTGAATATTTTGTATGCAAATAATCTCCCAGATTGTTTTGTAAACAGTAAACATTTTTTCTACTAAAAAAGATTGTTCTAAAAGAAAGTGTTCTGTTTAAAACAATTGCGGGGCCCTGTGTACATTCGCTTTGGGAGAATAATGCCAAAAGCGAATATTCTTAAATATACGGCAGCATGCAGAAGTGGTTATACCAAGAACAGCAGCAGCCGTGTTCTTGGTGTCATTTTAAACAGTCAACGATGGCTGTTAATGGACCAGCGACCGTTTGTACCGATCCGCGGAATGCATTGCCCCCACCCCTCTCTACCGCCACCAGTTTCTCCGGGCTCCGCTGTCCCCTGTGCGGGCCCAGGACCCGCACGGCGGGTCTCCCAGCAATGGAGCTTCCAGCCGTTGATCTCTCCTTTGATCACTGGACCTGGAAGTGATGTGTGTTACATCACTTCCGGTGTCACTGTTTACATTCTCCGGCTCTTAAAGCCAGGAGAAGAAGCTGGGAAAACAGATCTCTACTTCTTCAGCTTCTTTGGGGTCCCTAGGAGACATTAGAGGTCTATAAACAGGATCTGTCACATCCTATCTGCTATTACATAGGGGGCTTGCTAGCCCCTTATGTGATAGCAATAAAGTTAGTGTAAAAAAAAAATGTTTCAAATATAAACAAATCAAAGTAACATATAAAAAAATTGAAAAATGCAAAAAAAAACATTTCAAAGTCCCCCACCGCCCACATACATACGCAAACACGCGTTGATGCACCTATGTGCAAAAAAACTAAAATTGCACTACACATGTTACATATCGCCATGAACGTCGGAGTGAGAGCAATAATTCTAGTGCCATTATTCACTGTTAGCATTAAACTGATACGTGGTAAAAGCTTTTAAATTGTCCCCTATGGGAAATTTTTGGTATTAAAATTATTTGCGTCTTCAGGGGCGAACTCAATTTTAAGGCTTGACATGTTTGGTATCTATTTACCCGACGTGACCCCGTCTTTTATATTTTACCAAAACATGGGTATTATATTAAATTTCAGTGTATTTTATCCTAAAAATACTGGTTTGATAAACATTTGCACAAATACCATGCGACATAACAAATTGCAACTAGCATTTTTTTTTATTCTATAGGGCCTCTGCTTTCAGAAAATACATCATTGCTTGGGGTGGGGGGCGGTTGAAGCTGTTTTCTAGCCAAAAATTTTAATTTTATCATGTGTGTGCACATAGTAAGAAATTGCTACGGACTGCAAGTGGTTAATATATTTTTTCCAGCTCTACAATTGTTCTTATGTAGGAGCAATCTATCTTACACAAAAAAACATTTGACGTGAAATGTACTGTGTCTCTTTGACTACTATTTTTTTTAGCTAGGGGTAGTCTTACTAATAACCTAATTCTTATTTTTGAATGATAAGATATTCAGTTCAGGGTCATCATTTCTACTTGGCCTTGCTTATGCTGTACATGTTTTGTATTGATTTGTGTGCAATTGTTGCTGTAGATTTTTTATGTATCTTTGTTATCTACCTTTGCCTATAACAATTACTTAGTGCAGCTCCAAGGATGCTATGTGAATGAATATGACTACTAATAATACCGCTACTTATATCCCTACCCTTTTCCGGTACATTTTTATACTCACATATAAATAAGAAAATTTTTCTGGTTCAGAATTCCAATAAATCCTGTGCTTCCTCCTTCATTTCTGTAGGCTTGGATTCTCATTTGCTTTCACTTGTGCCAGCTCTGGGCAGAAGTAGACACCTTAAGAATCTTTCCCTTGGCAAAAATTTCTCAGTTAAGTCACGGTAAGGATGTTTTCTGTTTTGAGAAAATAATTTAAAAAAATCAAATTCTGTTATTACTATCTTATATTATTATCATGCTATTATATTAGTGCTGCTCCAGTTGAATGAAACCTGCCACGAAAGGAATACAGAGGCTTGCCATTGCTAATCTGTAGTCACCACTAAAACAAACAACATAAGGAATTCAGATTTTTTTATGTGCTGCATTCTTGTTCCAGGTCCATTACTTAGAACACGTACCAAACCAAACCAAAACATACCAAAAGTAGATCAATAGTGGAATTCTGACTTTTTATTTTGCCGCATGCTTGTTCCAGGTCTGTGTCTGACTTCAATACTTTCTGACTCACTGGTTGGGAACAAACATGTAGAAAATGAAAGCAGGAAAAAGTTAAATGTATTTTCTCTATACTTGTTTAGGGCTAATAACTCATAAAGTATTGAAGCCAAAACATCAGCTTGTCAGAAGGGCAACTATCATTTCTTTATCATCCATTGAGGGACACAAAAATATAGAAATTGTGATCATTGCACTCTCAGCCCTATTCTGCCAAGAGATTTTCCAACTTACAGGACAACAATCTAAGCGACAGCTAAGAACAATCATCACTCAATTCCACAAGTAACCCTTTACACACACAAACAGTAGCTACCACCACATGTTTTAACAAAAACACACACCATTCACATTATCTGTTATAGAAGTTCTGATCTTTAAAGTGACATTAAACCCTCAGATTTTTTAACATAAAACAATACTGTAATGTGTGCCTTACTGTAATCCATGGTTGTTTCCCTTCTCTTTGCTGCTCTTCCTTTTAAATCCCCATGTCTTCTCATGCTTGGGGAGAACTTCCCTTTTCAGCTCAGGGCCTCTTCCTGTAGTGCTGGCTCAGGTTACAAGCCTATACAAACTTATACACAGACACTGTGTATCCATTCCTGAGACAAGGCAGTCTGCTGCAAAACAGAAGTTCTGCCCAGCATGAGAACAGATACAGATTTAAAAGGAAGAGCAGCAAAGAGAAGGGAAACTACCATGAAATTACAGTAAGGCACACATTACAGTATTGTTTTATGTTAAAATATCTGAGGGTTTAATGTCACTTTAAGAAATGTCTGCCATGCCAGATAGGGATGAAACAGTGTTTAAAATATGTTAGCTTTCTTCAGAGAGTGTCTTTGAAGATTTTCATTTATCAGGTCATGGTATATCTGTAAAAAAATAAGTCAAGGCAACTGGACATTCTGTATTTTTCTTGAAGACGTTGCTCATCCGACTAGCTTTCTGAATTGAAAAAGCTGGTTGGATGACCAGTGAAACATCTTTAAGAAAAATACAGCAAGTGCAGTTGTCTTGACTTATTTTTTACTGATTAGACCAATTAAATAATCAACTTAAAAAAGAACTTAAGAAGTATTTAAAATCTGCTGTGTCTGTTCAAATGCATCGAGCACTTTGACTTCATTCCTGGGATGTAGAGGGTACACTCAAAGAATGCCTTATTCACTTTAAGTCAAGGTATGACTTTGGTTATACACTTGACAGTAGCATTCCCAACCCTCCTTGCACTTCTGCTTTAACACAGGAGATCTGTTGATTGGACAGAAGAACCCTAGTCTTCAGCTTGTACAGTTGTAATATTTTGTGGACGATGTACTTACTATAAAATCTTTTTCCTAAAGTTCATTCAGGAACCTAGGTCCCAACCTTCTGTATTTTTTTGACCCTATGTACTGCTTGCTCACAAAATTGAATCATGACGGTTAAAGGAGGGGTTATATGGGGGCTGGCTTTCAACATTTTTTTATGTTTGCCAGTGCCCACCTCATGTAGGCAGCTACATATAACCCAAATGTCCAAGAATTACTATATTCCTATGTCCCTCAATGCAAGAAAAATATTTTACGATAAGTACAAAAATACCTTGGAAGGCCAGCAGTGGCAAATATTTCTCTGATGACAGATGCGCATGTGACTTTGTGTAAATTATATCTGTATAAGCAACACGCATAAAGATGGTGGGGTTTATTTTCTATATGAGCCAAGAATATTCACTTAGCAAACTGAATGTTCACTAAAGCTAGGTTCACTTAGGAAAAAAAAATGGAAATGAAAACAAATTAATTTTGTCATGCACCATGATTGGATGATCAAAGTTAACAACATCATTTTATTCACTAAATTAAAAGAACATTCTATACTATTCGTAGCAAGTGAGGCAGTAGCAATTTGACTAAACTGTTAAAAAAAAGTGTTTGGCAGCACGGAGGGAGGAATTATATTTTAAGAGGGCTTTTTTATACAGGGTGAAGTCTAGCAGAAACCTAGTTGTAGGCCACACTCACTTCTGGTGTTGTTTGTTAGCCAGGGTTGTAGCGGTCAGGGCCTAATGCTATCTGTAGTGAGGGGAGGAAATTTATCCAGACAGGATAAGAACATGCTGTTGTAGGCAGCAGGGGTGAGATTTTGTCATAGAGATAGTTAGTAGCAGAATAGAGAAGAGAAGGGTTGAACTGGCGAAGGTTTTTATGGGTAACCTTTTGGTGGTTGGAGGGATAGGAGTTTGACAACAGGTGAGCATGAAACTGATGATCAGAGAGAGGAAAAGGGGTGTTGGAAAGGTTGCAAGGAGTGCAGAGATGGGATAACATAAGGTCAAGGGTGTTGTCATCAAAATGAGTAGGAGTGTGTTTCCATTGTGTTAGGTCAAAAGATTAGGTGAGATTGAGAAGCTGAGAGGTATCTAGGGTGTTAGCATTAACATAAATGTCATCAAGAATGATAGTGGTATTTAAGAGGAGAAAGTAGGGTAGCCAGGCAGAGTAGTCATCAAGGAAGCTGGACACTGGTCCAGGAGGTTGAAAAATTACAGCAATGCTCAGAGAAACTGGAGAGAATAGACAAACAAAGCAATCTTCAAAAGAGGAGCAGGTTAGAGAGTGAATTGAAGGAAAAACTTTAAAAGTGCTTTGTGGGGATAAAATTATTCCAACTCTACCTCCTTTTTGTCCACCGGGTCTGGTGGAGGCAACCTTGGGAGAAGGCAGCAGAAGAAGCAGAGTCAGATTCCTGAAGATTGGTTTCAGTAATAGCAAGTAAGGTAAAGGAGTTGGAGATAAAAGGTTAATGGACAATAAGTAAAAGGATAAGGGATAATGGAGGTGAGCCAAACAAACAAGGCATTCCAAAGAGCATATGAGAAGAGGGGATTGGTTCTTTGGAAGTAACAGGAATGTGTGGATTATGGCTGCTGCCAGAAAAGGGGTGTGAGGGGATAAAAGGTAAGATAGCAGAGGGCCAGAAGTTAGGAATAGCAGGAGGGTAAGCAAAGTAAAATGGGAGTTCTTTTAAAAATACACATGCCCCGGTGTCCTGGAGGTTATGTCAGCATGTGTGTTCAGAAAGAGCAGGAGGTGACAGGTGCTGTAAGTAAGGGAGAGAGCAGGAGGAGAAGGGAAGGTAAAGAGAGCATATTACTGGGTTCTTGGGAAAAAAATATCTGGATGGTGAAAGAAAATTTGTCAGAACTTGTTTGTGCCTTAGTTAAAGTGCACTTTTGGTAAAATAAACATGGTAAGAATGCTTTCCCCCAAAGACTAATCAAAATTTATAGGACTATTTAGTGGGGGCGTGTATGCCAAATAATCAATTAGGAACTGATATAAGGTCGTAAAAGTAACATCAGCATTTACTGCTTTATGAATTCGCTCTTTAATTCTGTAACTGTATTACTTGTTTGGACTTAACAAAGTTTAATAAACATAGATTTATATGTTAATATTTCTCACTTAGAGTCCTTGAAGAGATTCTGCAGAGGATTGTAAATGTTCTTCAGGATGAAGACTGTGTAAGTGTTTCTGAGATATTTACAAACTAAATAATGTTTTCAAGGCAAATGTACCACTTCAATAGACTATAACTGTTTTCATGCCATTGAAATCGCTTCTATGTGAATGAAGTGAATGAAAACCTCCAACTGGGGCACATACAGCAATAACAAGCAGACTGACCATTTCCTAGCCTCATAGAAAGAGTGCTTTCATATTTGTCATTGTCTTTGTGACCTTGTTGCAGATTTGTCATCACTTTTTATCCTGCTGGCAATGATGCCCACTGCTTCTAAATTTGAGGCAGAGTTGCCATTTGTGTAAGTTGTGCCTGCTTGCAATACAGTGGGGTGAAAAAAATGTTGCAGGGGCATGGCTATCAGCATTGTCACTGATAATTCACAAGCCTTGTAGCTTTTTATTCAGTACCTGGCCTTCTGCCCACTGTTTTCTGGATTGACAGCACTGCCTCTGTTAAATAATATATATAGATATCTATATATATATAGATATCTATATATATCATTAAATTATATTATAATATATATGTGTAAGTGTGTGTGTGTGTATACATTTGAAAAAGTAAGCACACCCCATGAGAGTTGTTAACTTTTTCAACATATACTGTATATGTACAGGCAAACATTAGATCTTCATTCAAACAGTGCTTCCAGAAAAAGATAATATGCTAGAATAAAGACACAAGGACATTTTGCCTTTTCAATCAATTATTAATTGTAAAAATATTAATAGATGTAATTGTGTACTGTTGAAAAAGTAAGTACATCCTTGTGTGACTTTTTGCGTGTTACACAGAATTATTTACTACTCTATGCAAAATTCCTTCAGTCGCAAGATGTTTATGAGTTTTGCATGAATTGTCAGTTTCAATTGTTTATATTTCAATGGGATTCAAGACAGGACTTTGATAATGCTAGTCCAAAACCCTCCAATTCTTTTTTTTTGAGCCATTCTTTGGTTGATGTGCTAGTGTGCTTCAATCATTGAGTTGAAATATCAATTTCCGGTTTAACGCCAACTTTTAGACGACTGGATGCACATTCTCATCAAGAACACTGTTATATGTAGAATTCATAACTGTTGACTGCAAGCTGCCCAGGCCCTGAAGCTGTGAAGCAATCCCAAGCCATAAACCATTCTTCACAGTTGGTATGAGGATTTTCTCCTGAAATGCTCTCTTTGGCTTGCGCCAAACATGTCTACTGTTACTGTGACCAAACAACTTTATATTTAATTCATCAGTCCACATTACATTATTCTAGAAAGTTGATGTCAATTCTTTAAAAATCACCCAGCGCAGATTGTGACATGGGAAGAAAAATCCTCCTGAAGAGTCATTGCTACAGCTTTGAAGTCTGTATACTGACTAGTTCCTCTGATTCTGGTCTCCTGCAGAACTGTGATGGTACTTTTGTTGTAGCATGCTGCTGCTGCCCACTAATGCCTAGACAAGGTGACTGTGGTTGAACCTTCAGTGAACCATGTTGACTCTCTCATCTTCTAACAGAGTTTTTAAAGGCGAAGCCTCTTAAATGGGGGATGACTGCAGCACAGGAATTTATTCTGGCTTGTGCTTGTAAAAGTGACAAGCCATGCCAGTTGCTTTGAAATGACAACCCATGCTTGCTCCTGAATGTACCACTTCATCATTGTCTGGTGTGGTCAGTGTGTTATCTCTTATCCATCTGTTATTGGCAATGCAGTATAGATGGTAACTGGGTCCTTTCCTGTAATGGTCTCAACACGCTGAAGCTTAATCCTCCTGTCCCATCGCACTCCTGACCGGACAAAAACCCAAATCCAACTGGGTGGGTGCGGTGGTGACAACGGATGCCTCCGTGAAATGTAGATAGATGAAAGTAGTCACTCGCATTCCATGATATTAAAGTCAATGCTGTTTATTGACTGAGATAAGATGAGATTGCTAAGGAGATGTGTGTTATCTCAGTCAATAAACAGCATTGACTTTAATATCATGGAGTGCGAGTGACTACTTTCATCTATCAACACCCTGAAGGACTGTGCAGGCCCCAAACAGGTACTTCTCTAGATCACTGTATCTTTTCTGCGCCCGTGTCATGTACTAAAATCCAATGGGTATTGCCCTCTATCCTTTCCTTTCATTTGTTTCAATGTAGTAAAACACAGCAACTTTCAAATTGAGTGTGCTCAAATCTTTGGAAATTAGTCTATGACAGATCGTTAGTGAATGGAGGTGGAAGGGAGAGTGACGGCCATCCCACACAAAGGCAATCCAGTTCTGACACTCTGGGTCTGTTGGGATGGAAAAGAAAGCATTAGCCAGGTCTATCACAACATGATATTATCATGCTAGTTCTTGTTCTCTCAATGATGGAGATCATATTAAGTACAGCTGCCTTCAATGGAGGTGACATTTTGTTTAGGCCTATATAATCCACTGTCAATTTTCATGTTCCATCAGGTTTCTTTACTGTTAACAGTGGAGCCAAGAAAGGGCTTACAGCAGGTCTAAGGATCCCTATTCTCCACACTTGAATAGCCTTCCCAATTTATTTGTGGCCTTTAAGCACTGATTGAGACAGACTGGCTTCTCTTCTGATGGAGGAATGTAGACAGGGGTCTATTTTGCATGACCGTAGATACCAGATATGCTTTGTGAGCATACCCAAATTTAAATGTACCCCATTCAGTCTGGATTGACTGGTATATATGAGAAACTCTTCTAACAAAACATTTTGCACAAAATCATGGTCCCTTACCAATATCCAATTTCACCTGTGTCCTGTCTGCTGGTGTGGTTTCCCTTAAGCTTCTACATGGATCACTTCTCCTTTATGATTCCTTGTAAAAGTATGACTTCAGCTTCAGTGCTCACTAAAGCTATCACATGTGTAGAAGAAGATGGGTTTCCTCACCATACAGTGACAGGTGCATATGGGCGTCATTGTCCTTATTGCTGTCAATGGAAAACCACTTTACTGTCACAGAGGAAAGGAAACCTGCCAGTTCCCCATCTTAAGCCTCTCTAACTCCTCCCTTGGAAAATAGGGATTTGGTTTTGGATTCCTGTACAGTTTTGGTAATCAGTTTGAGACTAACAGAAGGGAACTGTTCTGTTTCCTTTAACACCAAGCTGATGTTATTTAAACTAGAAGCAGACCTAACCATGACAGTTGTCCCCAGTAATTGTTTTCACCTCTTAAGCAAGTATGGTATAGAAACCCCATCTATCTCATCTTCAAGTACTGCTACCTTTAAAATGGCCACCAACATTTTTCTCCTAGAGAGAACTAACTTTGTTACATTATTGGGAACTATGCTGATTGGTTCTTAACCGATATTCTGAGACCACAGCTGGTGACAGTGCTGTTTCACGAGGGGGATGCACATGTGCACAGTCCCAGTTCTAAAATGGAATATAGATGAATGGTTTCTCAGCAATAATTATTGAGGTCAGAAAGGGGTTAAATCGCTGTCACTCGGCTGCGCTTGGTCTGCATGTAAATGAGGTAAATGAAGGCAGGTGGAATAAAAAAAAGACTTTAGATACTAAATACTATCATTACATATATTGCCCCTATACAATTGTTAGAATAAATTTTTGTGATGGTGGTTCACTGTGAAAAAAATATTATGGTGAAACGTATGACCTAAAATCATTACAATCTTGGGAACACACCGCAGCAATACACACTGGAAAAGCAATATGTTTACTTATAAAACATGCTGTGTATTGCAGGCTAATACAGTGAATGTGTGATCCATGTATTCCCAGAGGCTTGCGTAAAGAGTCTCTTGCAGAGATTCTCAAACAAAATGACTATGTAATTCATCACTCTTTGATTGGAAGTGAAGTGACACATGTAATTCTGGAGGTGGAGGTGCTGATGTTTTTCCCTTCTACCGTGTTATGTAGTTTCCTGGGGTGAGCTATACCACTGTGTGAGATAGTATGTTGTGCCTCTGCATTACAATTTATGCATCCCCCAGGGAGAAAACAATTCATGCTGTCAGTGTATTTCTTCCTGCAGAGCAACGTTATGGAGGATAGCTAGATTTACAGGGCTGTATAATTACCATATCCGGTTAGCTAACAAGCTATTTGTGATTTTCTTTACTTATTATTAAAGGTTAGCTCAGCCACAAGTAAAATCATTCAGTGCATATCATTTTACACTATCACTTCACCTTTAAAGCCTAACTTCAACCATTTTTTTTTTTGGATAAGTCATTTTGGAGTAAAGACAGGTGTAAACCTTTGTTATATTTTTATTGCAAAACCTGTTTCATTTGTTTTCATATTTGCTCTCATTTCCTTTCCCAGTGACACCCTGTCTTAGTTTGACACATAGGATGGCACCAGGACAGGAACTGAGGGGAAATCTTCCTTTGCTCAGACAGTAATGCACATATGATTTGACAAGTACAAGTACTTGTCAAAATTCCCTGTATCGAGCCCGATTCCGATGCTAGCATCGGTATCGGGACATCCCTAGTTCAAACCTTTCCCCAAGCTATTAAAAAAAAAAAAAAATCCTATTATTTTCAATGTTTGTGTCATTGTTTGACAGATTTCCCTTCACTTTTTTGTCCTTGCAGCATGGGAACAGGAAGTGAGGTGAAATCTCCCCAAAAGGGACACAATCAGCAAGGAAAACATGACATTCTCTTCCATTCCCAAAACCACAAAAAGCTTATGTCTGTCACTGGGCACAACTAATTTGCCTACCTAAATATGTTTTACGATTTGTTAAGGACATATAGGGCTTTTATTTAGTATAATGTTTGATCATTAGACAAAAATGTGACAACCTGCAAGGTTTGTTTACTTACAAAACTCATGTGATTACCATGTCATAGTTGACATAGTGATCAAATGATGGAAAACCACGTTAATTGGCTCTAGAGAAATACTAATTTCTTTCATAGCAATCGACCTGGGTTATGTGGTTCGGCTCTGCATTTGAGCTCGATTTGTGTGCAGGTAGCGCCAGATTGTTGTGTTTTAAGGGTGCTTAGTATGAAATTCCTAGTCTGAAGATATTGAAAGAATTCAAAGGCAGAGATCTTGTATTTGTCTTGGAAGAACTGAAAGGATTGTATACCATTCAAAGAGTAAAATTTCAATTTGTATAGGTTTATAATGTTTGAGTGGATCCAAAGTCTAAAAGATTCAGGAGAATCAATGCCCAGGGCTAATAAAGGGTTATGTAGGTAGGATAGCAATGGAAGATGTGGTGACATAAGCTTGCCTGAATATTTTGTTGAGTCCCACACTCTGAAGGAATGGGCTGTTATCGGGCTTTGCAGTCTAGGTCTGTCCTTTGGAAAAATCCTTAACTATTCTGAGTGGGTTATTTTCCATGGTCTCAATACTCGACCAAGTGGTATGATATATTGTCAGTTGACTGATTTGTGCAACCGCACAATATTTAGGAAAACGTGGGATTGCCATACCTCCACTAAGCCGATATATGTGAAAAGGCGTGAGTAGCCATTCAGGGTCTCTTCTGGTCCCATATAAACCAGCAAAAATTAGTTTTCAAAATTTAGAGAATATGCAAAGGGCTCTACATTGGGAGGAATTGGGAAAGAGAGAATTTTGGGCAGGATAAACAATTTGGCTGCTGTAATCCTTCAAAACCACGAGAGATCATATTTATCCCACTCAGTTAGAACTTATTTTAGTTTATTGAGCATGTCTGGGTAATTTGCAGTCAATTAGTGAAGTGTAAAGGGTTTGTTGAGAGAGGGTGATATTGAATACCTTGGGTTTGGCATTATTCATTGTCAATCTAGAGATGTTGGTGAAAGTGCTGAGGGTGGTTAGAAGGTTAGGTAGGGAAATGTGGGGGTTGCCTGGAGTGCAGCTTAATAAAATATACATACACTCATCGAGCAATTTATGAGGAACACTTGCTTATTCATGCAATTATCTAATCAGCCAATTATGTGGCAGCAGCCTTATGCATAAACGTATGCAGATACAGTTCAGGAGCTTCAGTTAATGTTTAGATTAAATATCAGAATGGGGAAAAGTTTATCAAACCAGCCCATGGTGCCAGATGGGCTGGTTTGAGCTTTTCTGTAACTGCTGACCTCCTGGGATTTTCACGGACGATAGTATCTCTACAGTTTGCTTAGAATGGTGCAAAAAAAAAATAATACAAAAAACATGCAGTGAGCAGCATTTCTGTGGATTAAAATGCCTTCTTGATGAAAGAGGTCAGAGGAGAATGGTTCAAGCTCACAGAAACGCTACTGTAACTCTGATAACCATTCTACAATTCTGGTGAGCAGAGAGACTGGTCTACCGAATCTTGATTTCACACAGATGGTAAACTGTTCACTGAATCTGAATTTTAATAGCACACCTTTGGGATGTGGTAGAACAGGAGATTTACAGCATGAATGCATAGTTTGTTGAATGCCATGATGTCAACTTGGACCAGAATCTTTGTGGAATGTAGAATCCATGCCATAAAGTATTGAGGCTCTTTAAAGTGCAAAGGGATGCCCTATTCAGTATTAGTATATAGTATTCCTAATAAATTGCTCAGTGAGCGTATGTGTTTTAATAATCAGATATTAATAAGTGTATACATTGCTACAAGACGATGGCAAACGTTTCACAAATTTGTTTAACAACTGCTTGTCAGGAATGCATGGATATTACAGAGCAAGACTCAACTCAAATGTAAGCATTCTCTATGATGTCCAAATGCAGTCATCCATAACAACATAATTTCACTCTACAGAAGTCACATCAGTGAATGATTTCATCCAACGTATTGAGTTAGGTTGTTACACTTTGCTTTACTAAAGAGGCCTGTGTCACATCCTTAAATGAACTGGTATGTTATTTTTCCCCAAGCAACAGTGACAGAAATCGCCTTAAATATAAAACACATTAGCATAAAGCAGGAAACCCCAGCAGGGAATGAATGACTCAGATTAAATAAAAATGAACAGCTTTCTTTGACTTGAATCATAGAACCTTACATGAGAGACGTGCAACAGTCTTCACAAGTCACCAAGGAGATTTTATTAACTCATGTTAATGAATTAGGATAGGGATGTAGTGTTCCTCATGTAGCAAAATATAGTATACTTTTAGAATACTGTACTTCCATAATTATTTAAACATGTATTTGATAATTTATCAGAAATACAGTGTAACAATAACTTTGATAAGTGTATGGCTGCTCCCTGATCTAACCTAATAGAAAGCCTGCTAAAATACTTACCTTTCAGCAGGTTTGTCTTCCTTGATACTATCAGGGTTGTCTAAGCAACAATGGGTGGACTGGGGGGATAACTGTGTAGATAGAAGATAGATAGATCATGGGGAACAAAAGGTTATTGTTTACCTTCTGTTGTTTTATTTGATAAGAATACTTCTATTGTGCCTACAAGTTTAATACCTTTGAATAAAAGTTTTATTTTTATCACACTTTTTAATATGTTTCTTTGCGGCTTAACAAAATAGGAGTCTTTAAATGGTGCATATATTGGGGGAAATGGGTGTGGTTACGGGGGCGTGGCCACTAAAGGGTGTGGCCACTGAGGGGCGCTGTAAAGCTTTCTCGCACAGGGCGCCTAAAGGCCTAAGGCTGGCCCTGTGAGAATCTACAGCCGAGTGATACACAAATAAGATACATTTTTGTTAATAGAGAGCACAGATGCAATTATGTGTGTTTACCATGACCTGATCAGCTAATCTGAAATCAGATTTATTTAATCTGGATACACTAAACTGCAACAAGTCATCATTTTATTGACTGTTATAGATTATTGTACTATAGTTATAAAAAAGCCAAAGGGTTGTACTAAGCAAAGTGCAAGAATGCAGTACCTGAGAGCAGCCACATTTCAGCATTAACATTCTTCTGTTTGATATCCACCATCTCTATTCTGTAAGTTTATGCGGTATAATTATTACATAATTAGCAATTCTGCAATTGTTTAATGACATAAACTGAATGTAACACTGAGGGGTCTAGGTATATTTTTTTCACACAAGATTCACACAACTTCTACCTGGGATTCTCACATTTTTCAATCAAGAAACATGTGTAAATCCAGGGTTAGAGGTGTGTGAATCTTTTGTGAAAACATTTTTAATGAACCCCTTTGGGTCTATTAAAAGGTTGTGAGAATCAAACATACATTAACAAGCACAGGGGAATATGCAGAAATCCAATATTGTGAGCATTTGTATTGTCACATTTACTTTTTTTTCCATGTTTCCTGTCAGTGCCTCCAGTCTCTGTCTCTCGCAGACTCTCGCCTGAAATCTCGCACTTGCATTGTGCTTAATGCTCTTGGGAGCAATACATCTCTTCAAGAGCTGGATATCAGTGGTAATGGAATGTCAGATATTGGAGCGAAGATGCTAGGAAAAACCTTACAAATAAATAGTACTGTACGGTGAGTTCTAATTTAGAGCATTGAAGGCTGGGTTTCTACATAGCCAACATAAGCCATGCCACAGCAGCAAAGTTGCTTACTGTCAGTGAAACCTACAGATTTCTGCAGCAGGAATCCCAAATATTCTGTGTAAAATCGGCCACTGTCATCCGTTCAAGTTAATGACCAGGCAGCAGCATCTGTGCGGCACTCCGCATGTAATCGTATGTGATACAATTACATGCGGTTTGGAATAGATCACTGTTCCTTGATGCATGGTAGAAACTGCAGGAAGGCAAATCATACATTCACACATAGTGTGACTGTAGCCTTAGGCTGCATTCAGACGCTGCAATCTGGAACTCCTGCGGCAAGTACCTACGAATTCCTGTGGCAGAAATCCCAGGTGTCCATGTTCAGATGTGGCCTCTGTACCCATTTATCCTGTGTTCAGCAACAACCAGCTGTCCCAAACCACATGGAATCCTAGCATGTACGATTACATGCGGACTTCCGCTGTTAAATGCAGCCGCTGTCACCCTGTCATTAACTTCCGTGGGTACAGTGGCCAGATCTGAACAGGGACACCTGGTATTCCTGTCACAAGAATCTGTACGTTCTAGTCACAGGAAACCCGCAGCAAAGACTCCAGGGGAAAGTGGCCTTAATGTGATACTGAGGCTAAGCAGTTGGCTGGGATACAAATTGCTACAAGACTGTTGGCCTCAGAGGGAAATAGTGTATAAATTCAACCTTGAGACTATCTAATTTGTACAACTGATGTTAGCCCTAACCCTGGCCACCAGGAAATATACTTTGTTAGAAGTCATGCAGTTGGGCTGGGCATATAATGAACCAGTTGTTGATTAATGAAGGCATGTTGGTAAGGAAGTGGTCAGCATTGTGGTAAAATTATTTCCACTGGTCATACTTATTATTCTTTCTCCTGTTTTAGCAACTAGCAACCAAAAACATGCCTAATATATTACATGCCTGGTTTGCCCAATGGCCTGGTCTAAATACTGTAGGATGCTGTATAACCAAATATGTGTTTACAGTGTGACAAAAGAGACTGACTTTCATATATTCTATCTCTTATCTGAAATATGCCCTCTCCTTCTCCAGATCTGTGCTTTGGGACAGGAATGCAGTTTCAGCTTCTGGGTTTATGGATGTGGCAAGGGCTCTTGAAAAGTGAGTTGGTGAAATTGGGCTTTTCATGTATGGACTCACAGGCTTAAATAAAAAGTGATAATAATATTTACACTTTTTTTTTATACAAACTAGAAATAAAACACTTCGCTTCATGTCCTTTCCTGTGGGAGACATCTGCCAGGCTTACCAGAGACACCCTGAGAGAGCAGAAAGTGCCTGGAGGAAGGTAACTGCCTTGTTCATAGAATTCTGTTTTATGACATCTGTGGAGACTTACACATGATGTTCCTAGTTTATATGTTTTGCCTATGTAGTAAAATAGAACTGGCAGGGCTGATGAATAAAGGGGTTGGACCTTGGGCCCACCAAATCAGAAGATCTATATAAAGATATGTTACTGTTGAGATTGGATTGCTAATGTTCTATGTGACGCTGAAAGATATGAAAACCCAAATATGTTTGTATTTTCATTTTTTTAACTTTTATAATATACACACGTTTGCCACATTATGTAGCCAGAGTGCCACCACTATCTGGAGCCTGCAGCTATGCAGCTTCTTGTGTTGCTTGTGATGCACCGGTAGCGGTTTTTCGTTATCGAGTATGAGTACCGATATTTTCTTTTGGTACATTCCGATACCCTTGCCGTGAGCTCTGATTATCAGGAAGTCAGGCGAATCATGTCTTCCTGATTGCCTGGGAAGCCGGTGTTCTATTGAAAGAACACCGGCTTCACTTGCCAAGGCTGCCTAGCTTTCTGACCATGAGGTGCCAATCAGCTTCCTGATTGGTCAGGAAGCCAAGCTGCCTAGGAACAAGTGAAGCAGGCTTCCTAGCCATTCAGGAAGCTGGGTGGCACGTCATGACAATCTCACGGCTTCCTGATTGTCTAGGAAGCCGGCTTCACTTGTTCCTAGGCAGCCTGGCCTCCTGATTGGTTAGGAAGCCAGGCTGGCTGGGAACAAGTGAAGTCGGCATCCTAGCCAATCATGAAGTCCGGAGGCAGGTCATAATCCATGGCCCGGCTTCCTGATTGGAAAGGAAGCCGGCTCCATGCTCCCTCGGCACTGCCGGTCATAGGGAGATATCCCTCTGCCTGGAAGTTCTGGTATCGTAGCTAAGTATCGGAGCATTTAATAAATACAAATACTACAAATACTCGGTATCGGCACCAATCGATGCATCCCTAGTTGCTACTCAAATGCATGCCTGTTTGTTGGACAATATATTAGCATACTGCACTAGAAACATCTGGCTTATGGTTTCTTTCTCCTGTACTTTGCTTAAACACCATTCTCTTTATCGTACCCTTCCTGAAACATTCGATGTTAACAACACTTTGCTTTGCAGTAGAGTTTGATTGGTTTAAAGTACTCACACACCCTCTCTCTGATTTCCATTATATAGGGAATACCAAAATATTAATATAAAGAGAGACTAGCCAATGTGTTGAGTTTTTTTAGAGTTGGTGCAAGTTTTTGAAAACCTCATTACAACTCTATAATTGGGGTTATAGAATGGTATTGTTTATAAATAAGTTATATATTGGTTGTATTGTGAGTATCTGCCTTTGACTTGATTGCAGCAATTATACGCGTTTCTCACTTGACCAATTCTTTTTCCTGCATTTTGTAAAAGACTAAATTGAATTTTTTTTTGATAATACTACACATGCTACAACTTTGTAAAAAAAAATGAAAAATGTTTCAAACTGTCTGATACTTCCTTTTCAATTTGACCTACGAAAAATTTAAAGTGATTGAATTAGGTCCACACGCAGCACCCATATTTCAAAGATATGATTTGAATCATGGGTGAAAATCTTTAACAATATATTTTCTCATTAATAGTGTTTTATTTTTATAGGGTATGTACAGTTTATTCGGGGAAAAGCAACAGCTCATGGTGGGGAAAGGGGGTAGGGGATATAAGATATGGTGAGGTAAGAAGGACGAAAATTGATAATGTAGCAAGGAATGAAAGCTGATGGTGGATGGGATGTGCGGGACAGGACCTGATGGTGAAGACGGTGGTAGATGAAGTGGAGGTGGGAGCTGATGGTGAAGAACCTTGTGGGTACTGATGGTGTAGCAACGAAAAAGAGAACTCATTTGTCTCTTAGCTTAGGGACCTAGGACAGTGGCTATGTGTATAATGTAGGTGGCATGAGAGAGTTGATGGAAGGTGAATAAAGCAGGGACTCGGATGGGATCTTGGGGAGGGAGGTGTTGGAATATATGCAGGACAGGAACTTGAAGATGAGAGTAAGAAAGCAGATTTGCATTGCTGAAAACAGATGAGATGTACATTAGCTGAAAGATCAAAGGAAAGTGAGACATATGCGTTGAATAGGGGAGAGGAGGTCTTTGAGATGTGGGGCGCTTTAGTTGCAGTGGGACCAGATCATGGATAATCAAAGAGAGAACAATACAGTGTGTGGAACAAGATTGTATATTGGAAAAGGGAGAAGGTAGTCGAAGTATTTCACAGAAATTAGGGAAGAGAAAGGAGTCAGTAGGAACAGATTGTGGTAAGGAGGGTGTTTCAAAAGTACAGAAAACACACTTCATTTATGTATATGTGCCTGCATCAGACTCATGAACTGAAAGTCTGGGTTGGATGATTAAGCATATACATATTTTATGCTAAAGTGGAAAGCAGTAGTAGAGATTAAGGCAGAAATGTGCTGCTGGGGTGTAGCAGAGCAAGCATAGTAGAGGGAGACATTGGGAACAAGAAATAACAGGGGGAATTTATCAAAATTGGAGCATTTGCCCATGGCAACCAATCGTCTCCTCTCTTCAGTTTGTTCAGTTAAGATTTGAAAATGAAAGGCGAATGCTGATTGGTTGCCATGCACAGCTTCTCCAGATTTTGTCTGCTCCAGTTTTGATAAATGCCCCTCAATGAGTTTTGTGGGCAACGAAGAGAAAGACTCTAGTGACACTGAGAAAAAGAAGGGGTTCTAAGGGATGGATTTGAGGACAAGAACAGAAGACTCCAATAATGTATTTTTTTTTCTCAGATACATAGTTGTCTCCTTCGAAACTCTCAGACTTTGGCTGTCTCTGATCAGAGAGCGCTGCGACTTCAACAGGGAGTAGCAAACAGTGCAGAACAGGTAATGGAAGTCCAATTCGCTATCCCATCCCTAACTTGCATAATTTAACAGTCTTTCTCTCTCTTTCTCTCCCTTTATCCCACTTTCAGATGCTACAGACACTATCAATGTTGATACATGATCACATTAATGCTTTGCGGTCATGTGACCTGGAAACCGTCCAAGAAGATATCATATGTGCAAGACAGCTCCTCCGAGATGCCAAGAACTGTCGGGCTGTAAGCCTCTACTAAACTAATCCATACGAGTCATGCTAATTTATTTCTTATTGGTATTTATATAGGGCCGACAATTTTTTACGCAGCTTTACACAGTGCCTATTCATATCAGTCCCTGCCCTCAATGAGCTTACAATCTAAGGTCCCTATCTCACATGCATACATACGAGGGCCAATTTAGACAGGAGCCAATTAAACTACCAGCATGTCTTTGGAGTGTGGGAGGAAACCAGAGTACCCGGGGGAAACCCACACAAGCACAGGGAGAACATGCAAACTCCTTGTAGACCTGGCCAGGATTTAAACCGCGTGTGCACACGCGAACGAGCACATATAGACGATCGGCGGGCTATGGAGCCGCTGATCACCTATATGTGAAACACCCGGTAACGGGTGTGTGCAATGGTCTGCCCGTGCGTGCCCGCTAGGGGGCGCGTGCAAGCAGAAAAAAAATGCCGTCTGGAGACGGCAACCCGCCAATGCTGCAGTGCCGTCCATCCGTTTTTTTACAATGGGCGGACGGCAAGAGGTTATATGAAAATATCAAAGTGTATCTTGAACCAAAACTTATTTTTTGTTTTGGATAGTAAAGTACTATTAATCTTTTTAGGTTTTACTGCTGTTGGAGAGATTCCTTAAAGTGACATTATAACCTCAGATTTTTTAACATAAAACAATACTATAATGTGTGCCTTACTGTAATCCATGGTAGTTTCCCTTCTCTTTGCTGCTCTTCCTTTTAAATCCTCATGTCTTCTCATGCTTGTGGAGAATTCCCTTTGCAGCTGAGTGCCTCTTCCTGTAGTGCTGGCTCAGGTTGTGAACCTACACACAGACACCATGTATCCATTTCAGAGACAAGGCAGTCTGCTGCAAAACAGAAGTTCTGCCCAGCATGAGAACAGATACAGATTTAAAAGGAAGAGCAGCAAAGAGAAGGGAAACAACCATGGATTACAGTAAGGCACGCATTACAGTATTGTTTTATGTTAAAAAATCTGAGGGTTTCATGTCACTTTAAGGCCTGATTCACACCTAGACAACAGCGTTTTCACGCATAGAAACACGCATTTGTTGCCGCAGGTTTTTGTGCTTTTTTGACGAGCGTAAACCACGCGTGTATTATGTCATGCGTTTTCACTAGCACATTATGACACATTTATTGTAAATGTGCAAAACGTGCGCAAACGCGCGTAAAACACGCAAAAACTATTGCAACGCGCGTTTACAAGCGTTTCCTATTGACTCTATGGGGACAAAACGAGCTGTACTCTGCAAAAAAGAAGTTCATGCACTTTTTCCAGCGACAGGCGTTTTGCTTATTGTGACAAAACAGGGGCCATAAGAATGAATGGGACTTTTTTCGTAAAGATTTTGTGGCGTGTATTCAGCTGCAACAATACATTTAGTGTGAACCAGGCCTTACTTCCTGTCTGGTAAAAAGGTTGTCCCCAGGGCAGGAAGTGAGGGGACATCTATGTAACAGCAACGCAGACAGCTATTTCTCTCCAAATAAGTAGCAATAATGCATTTTGGTCATAAAAGCCCTTAATTAATGCCACTGGTAACACATATTTCTTCAATGACGCTTACAGTGGAAGCTATCTCCCTCTTTACATCTATATTATTCCATAGTCTCATACATCCATTTTTCGGTGTGTCTGTTTCATTAACCCTGGCACATTTTTCCTTCTCACTACTAGTTATTACCACGTCTTCTGGAAGCTGGCAGCTGGCTGTCTCCTTCTGGCCCAGCTCAGCGCCTCCTTGAAACAGTCTCATACGAACTGTCCCGAGCAGTGGATAGAGAACTGCAGGTACTGGAAAAGCATTGTCTCCTTCTAGTGTGACACTTCTATCCCTTTAAATCCATTGCTGTCAGATTTAGCTTCTCTCAAGGGTAGATTGGCATTTATAAGTAATCTATCATATATACTGTATAGTATAACGCTTTAGGTTAGAGAAAGGGACTTTTTCTCACTTTGAACATGGTTGATTTACTTATGTAGTAGAGCATGTTCACATTGCAAAGCAAACAAGTAACCTGTAAGTTTAAATTCTAGTTAAGAAAGATACTTGATAAAAGACCACACAGGTAAGTTTTTGCTAGAAAACATTATTATATAGCGATAGTCAGCATGGCTTCACAAAAGGCCAAAGTTGTCAAACAAATCTACTTTACTTTTTATTAGAAAATAAGCAAAAACCTTGACAAAGTAGTGGCTGTGGATATAGTATACTTGGGCTTTGCAAAAGCATTTGACACAGTTCCTCACAGATGGCTAATGTGTAAGTTAAAGTCTATAGACTAGAAAATTCAGTCTTTAAATGGATAGAAACAGTCCTTACAGGATGTCTCTAACATACAAGCAGCCTTGAATGCACTGTTTAATTGGCCAATATTGTGGCAAAAGAGGTTTAATGTTGATAAATATACAGTTTTTCACTTGAGGGATAAAAACATGCATGCATTATGCACGCTAGGGGGAATAAAACTTGGGGATTCAATATTCCAGAAGGATATGGGCGTTTTGGTAGACCATAGGCTTAATAACAGCATGCAGTGCCCAGCTGCAGGTTCTAAAGAGGTTTAAGCTCTGCATACAGAACGACCTCTTCACAGTAAGAGCTGTGATAATGTGGAATAGACTTCCTCAGGAACAAGTTCTAGCCAGCTCAGTTGATTGCTTTAAAAAAATGCTGGATGCATACCTAAGTGCACAAGATATAACTGGATATTAACATTTATAAGCAATAACACCGGAGGTTGTTGGTCCAGGGAATATCCAACTGCCTTAGGGGATCAGAAAGGATTGTTTTTCCTGTTGGAACAAATGGTCCTTGCGTTATCAGGGTTCTTCCTCTGGATCGAGTGTGGGGATAGGATTCTGTTAATGGAGGTTTTTCATTTATCTAGTTAGTCCATAGAGTTCAACTAATAAAGAAAAAAAAAACAAACAGAAAAAAAAAAAGTCTTGCAAAAAAAACCATTATAACTCTTTATTTATAGATTTTTTCCTATAAGATGAACTTGGTGGACTTACATAGGTACATACAGTAGTATTTGAGGTTGTATAGAGACACAGGTCCATCGAGTTCAATATAAAGTTCAACCATGTGTCCTCTCTCTTTCATATCTGCCCCAGGAGGAAAATGTATATATTGAAGTTGATTGGCGGCTAGATCAATTTAATTATGAACAGCAGGCCTGACTTATCAAGCCATCTGAAGAAAGAACTTTGTGTAGCATGTAATTACATTCTCCTGTCCATTCTGCAATACTGCAGTGAAGGGCATGATCTTATTTGTTGATATGGCCTGAAAAAAATCTTCTTCTTTAGACCCTTTGGTATATAAGACACAAGGCTGACTGTGTTATTCATTTTAGCAACTTAGTTTGTGACTCTATGCACATATGAGTATTAGACCATATTGCTAAAAAGACTTGCACTAATATAACATGGCATTTCATATGCCACTAAAAAACCAGAATGGATTTTAATTTGCTTACCTAGAACATTGCAGACACCATGTGGGAGGCTACTCAGGATCTCTTCCCTGGAGCAGCACGGGATGCTCAACGAGGAGGAGCAATGCTGTGCAGACTCAGAGAACAACATGGACTCAGCCCACCTCATATCCGAGATATGCTTCGCCAAGTGGGGAGCGACTTACATAACAAGCTGAGGTAAGGACTGTAGTATTTACAGATTTATAGTACACTGTACAGTACTGTACATCTCCAAAACTACAGTACAGTACTGTATACAGTTCCTCGCTACAGTTCCGTTCCTAATCGTAGGAACGGAATTCGGTCAGTAAGTGAGGAATAGCTGTACTTCTTTTTCATCACAAGTAGGGTTGCACAGATACCAAGTACAGTACTCGGTATAAGTGCGAGTACATGTACCGATACTTTTGAGCTCCAAGACTACACTAGAGAAAAATTCAAAAGTTAGGAGGCAGCAGTCATGTGTTAGGCGCACACGGAGCTCCTGGGATTTGTACATCTCTGTTTTAATGTACGATTTTGTTTTTATAAATATAAATAAATTGATGCACAGATACCAGTTTTGCGAGTACGAGTACTGGTACTTGCCGAGTACTTACAAGTACGAGTACTGATACATTTTTGTTTATTGTCATGTGACAGTTTTTCTAAAACAATACAGACTAATGATTTCAGGAGAGTGGTGGAGCGCCAGAGCCCGGTCCCAGCTGCAACCGCTGCAACCCTGGTAGTTCTCATGAAAATGCCAAGTATCGGCACTGATACTCGAAAAGTATCTGCTCATCCCTAATCAAAAGGAATACTCACTTTTCCAGGTTGAATGATTCCCAGCATTATTTAACCCAGAAGACTGAGAAAATACTATGAATGCTGGGCACCATGGCCCTGCTTCCTGAGGGGCATCACCTTGGCCCCTCTTAAATTATAGTATATTGAAACAGAGAGTTGAGCTGACGTTATCACATCAGCCCCACTCTTTTCATCAACAGAGGACCATCCCAGGCCGGCAAAAGGGAAAGTCATGTGAACAGCCTGAAGACATCTGAAAAGGGCAAAAGCAAAATATGTAGTGTGGGGGGCCTCCAGGGTTATTTTTTTTTTTTTTAAATCTTTATTATTTTTTTTAGATTTTACATTTATTTAAATGTTTTTAATCTTTTTTTCCACTTCTTTTTTAAAAAACTTTTTTCATTGGTTTCCTATTCTCCTTGGTACCACAGAGGTACCGAGCAGAATAGCCGAGCAGAATGCCGCTCAGCGGAATTCAGCTATTCACTCGCTGCCGTTTGGCCCCTACGTACATAGGGGTGAGCGGCAGCGAGTGAGCTGCCAGAGCTTCGGCTCAGCCGATGCAGATGTTGGATCGGCTGAGTGGAAGTCCTTCTGCACTTCAGATCAGCCGAACATGCAAAGCATGTTCGGCTGAACGGAGTGCAGCCGAAGGCAGCCGATGTACGGTTGGTTTCAGCCGATGGTCGGCTCACTTCACTACGACTCGGTTATTCACTCGGTTGCCTCCATCAGCTTAGTGAATAACCCTGCTATTGTTTGTCTGTTCCAATATGTTGAAAAAGTCAAACATTTCCATGGGGTGTACTTAATATTTCTATCACTATATTTTACAGGAGGACTTTTAGACATTTTCTTTTAAAGCAAAGGCATAGAAAAAATTAAAAATATGTTTAATAGAATGCAAATACTAGTTGTGTTCCTGATCACAAGCTTTGTATTTATGCTGGGATTTGATGGAAAATTAATGTTTTTAATCCCCTCACATAGTGTTATATTTACGTATTTCTTAAAGAAGTTTTATTTGATCACAGGTTAGCAATGCTTGTTTCCATATACATTCATAAGCAGAAAAAAAACTACCATATTTGAATAACCTAAACAGGATTCAAAATTCAAGGAGAAACCTTACAAGGGCAAAAAAGCAGGCCTGGCCTGCCAATTTGGCATTTGCTGTATGGTCCATTTGAATGTGCTGTATGTATGGGCTGGTTTATATTCATTTTGCTTGTTCAGCCACATATATAAAATAGTACATTTCACTGTACTTGATACATTTTCCAGAGATTGCAGTTAGATCTTGTTCACGTGGGTGTGAAGAGCAGGCATATGCTTTGCATTATTGAAGCATTCCACTGTTCTGTAACATAAAAGTGAACGGTCCAGTACAAATAAAAGAACGAGAATGTGTTGGTGTTGCTTTGCTCTGCATTGTTTTAGATCGCACCAGCCATGTATGGCAGGCATTGGCAACTTCCCAAAATTGCCAAATGCCTAGATTTACATTAATGACAGTGTGCCCCCAAACACATACACCTTAGATGCTTGTAAGACATTTGGTAAGTTTTTTCTTTTAGTGAATAGAAAACGTTAACAGGGCATTTAAAAAACTTTACACAGAATGTATGTCTCCTAAACACATCGACATGTGCAGCAGTGCTATATGCAACTCATACGTTTATTAACACACATTTCTTGTTAATGCCCATGTGATCTTAACCTGTTTGTAATCATTATTGCTCTAGCAGATTTTACAGTTTGGTGACATAGAGACATATGTGTGCTTTTTGAACTAGAATTACATATTCCAACTCTGTATCTGTAAAAAAGGAATACTATTTTGGCAGATAATGTGTGTCTGTTATTAATAATAATAAAGATCATTATCAAAGTATCTCTAGTAAGAACTACATGTGTTGACCAAAAACAACCAGGTTCAAGCCTGGACTGAAAAATGGAACAGGAATGGTGAAGGTCTAAAGATGATTGTTTGTTTTTGGACAGTTCACACTGTTCTTATTCAAGCCATTTTAATAATTGGGTCTGTTATGATTATAATTCCAGAGCTGCCCAGCTTTCCCTCATGACTCGTCTTAGTAACTCGGTTTTGGAGCAAGTTCTACAGGAAATGCAAAGAACACACAGAAAATTAGTAAGTATAAAATAACAGAGAACTGGCATAGCATGGTAGAAAAGAGTATGAGGCATGGTAATACTATGTAAAGTTGACCCCTTCTCACATCTGCACATACAATTATGTTACCTCATGTGCACTTCCTTTGCCATACATCTACATCCTGCATTGAAATAGATTTTAGTGATCATGTATGCCCTGGTTGCAATAACCAGACCACAGGATATTAGCTGTAGCCATGACAAAGATGTTGGGTGTCAATAATGCTGGATATTACAGCATTATTGACACAGTATAAAAAAACAGTGATGGAGTGTCGAATGAGAATTTAATAAACTGCATTCATTGTAAAGATTTGACTCACTGCTTATTCCTATTATACATCAGAGTTTACTGGATTGCCTTCAACCATGTTTCATCAGATTTATAAAGGTCTCCAAAATCCTTGCTCGTTAAATCATTCAAATAAGATTCTCTGTATAAAGTCGGTCCTAATTGATAGATTTGCAAATCACTTTAAGGGCATTAATAAGTGCTCTTCCTGAATACTACACGATACTTGTTACAGTGTTTGTATGCTATGTAAAGGTCTAAATGTTGACCTCTTTCACCTACAACATATTTTAAAAAGAGAATATTCACATTTTGATTTATAAAATCAGTATCCTCTATAGAAAAAGATTATATGAGCAGAAAACAAAAATGTCGAATTCTTTCTTTTTTCCATAAACCTTCGCAGGCCCGTCATAGATCTCAGCTGCAGAGTATTATGGAAGAAGAGCAGAGGCTGATGGGCTATCTCCCACAGACACCACCAAGGAATAAGCAGGAAACACACGAAGGAGAGATGTATTCTAGTATTGTAAGTGGCTAAGTCTGTTTTCATTCCAATTTGCAATACAGTTATGCTATCCTGCATGATTTTTACCGTACATAATAGGATTTTTTTCACTTAAAGTATAACTAAAGCCTCAGTTTTTTTGCATACATCTACTGCTAGCAAGCGAAAATCTGAAAATTCTCGGGCGGCCGCAAAACATCATGCGAAGTTCAGATTTTTGGCCGGGAGAAGAAGAGAGACACAAGGTAAGTATATGGACGCATGCACCCACATGCAGACAGGAAGTGCCAGCAAGGACAGAGGAGTCAGCGCTGGATCATGGACCCTAAGCAGCGCTGGAGAGAAGGCTGAAAACGACAGGAAAGAAGAAGGAGATCATATTAAGAGACATCATTTAAGGTAAGTGCTTACATTAACATTGGTGGGAGGGAAAAAAGTATCTTTTAATGTCACTTCAAGCTCTTCACTTCGTTAAAAGATTGCATAAGCTGTAGATTCTCAAATCATCTCTGAATTGGTGCTGACACTGTCCTTTCTTCTGGATGGGGGCTACTTTTGTTCCCCATGGTCCCTGTGTGTGTTGTAAAGTAGCCACCACTCCAAGCTCACTCCGGGTGATGGACTACAATCTCATCTTTAGTTTACTAATTTGTATTGAGATTGTAGTCCATCATGGGGGTGAGCTAGGGCTACTTTACAACACACACAGGGACCATAGGGAACAAAAGTAGACACCCTCCAGAAGGAAGGACACTGTCAGCACCAAATCAGAAATGATTTGAGGATCTACAGCTGAGTGATACACAAATAAGATTTTTGTTAATAGTTAAGGTACTTGAATGTATTTTTAAGATTTAACTCCTGAGTTTAATGTCACTTTAAGTTAAATTTTTACTTCTGAGGTTGGTATAATACACTTCCAATTAAAAACATTAATTGCTGTCTTCCCTTATGTTCTTATTTGTTTCTCTGTTTCTCTGTAGGATACCATGGTAATAAAGAAGCGTCTTCAAGGCAGGAAAATTCGTCCTGTGTCTGCATTTATCAGTGAGATCTCTGATATATATACATTTCCAAGTTTTCACGCACAACGCTAACATAAACATTTTCATGCAACATGTTTTGTGGGAAACATCCCTTTATTGTTCAACTATAAAATCTTTCTGTTGTAGAATATTAACTGAATCTGTATGCCCCTCATTTGGTAGGTGTGAGTGAGCAGGAACTAAGCCCCAAGACACTAGATTTGGGGTCCCCTGGCTCCCGTGAACTCAATTCTCCACCTGCGCTCTCCTCATCCGCTAGCAGTCAGCTCTCTCGCTCTCTAAGCGTGTCACTAGAAGGTCTTTCTGAACTACCCACAGAAGGGAGTAAGCTGCAGCATCAAACTCGGGACAGGCCGAAGCAACAGTCACGTAGAGCGCCAGGAGGAGGAAAGGTGAGAGGAAGCTGGAATTGAGGAGATAAAATGACTCCGATTAAAACTCAAATAAATGCTCAACTAAAACCACTCTTGATTCTTGATTGTCATCATAGCCAATAAGAAAGATACAGCTTTTTAGTACGTAAAGAGGAACTTTACCCATATCTTCAAAATAACAACAAAGGCAGCTTTATAAATGTATAATAATGACAATCTACAAACACATACTTCTAGGTAATTGCTGGTTGCTTATTTTTTGTATACCTTATTTTTCTTTTCTTTCCCAGTCTTCTCACAGTGGCCTTATTAGCTATGGGAAAGGTTGCTATTTCTCGCTTTACTTCCTGGAGCTTTGGCACATGTGACTAGGACATGTGACCATGCACATCATCTCACAGGAGGAAAATGGCTTTCCCTTAAATCTTGTGAGATTACAGATGAGATTTCCTAGCAATGCTCTGATGATGTAACCTTCCCAGGATGCAGTGCTTGGGCACATTACATCATTTGTGCCAAAGTGGACCAAGAAGTAGAAAAAAAAAATTGTAAGTAAATGAAAAACAGGTTTGTTTAACTAATGAATGTAAGATGATTTTATATCAGCAGGCAGAGCTGTATGCTGATGTGATTTTTAGACAAAGGGGGTAAAGGTCCACTTTGAACTGCAGAAACAGTTCCATACATCTATCTCGTGTTGGTCGATACGAAAACATTCTAATCTAGAGCAATAATTGAGCTGTCTAAAAGCACCCTAGTTCAAAATTCATACATGGCCGGTAATGGAGGCCATGTGACAGAACTGGGTCAGGGGACAGCACTGCATGACAAAGTGGGCCTATCCAGAATTTGTAAAATTTCACTCGTGCTACTGTTTTTTCTGTCACCATTAAGCTAATATTTTGTCACTCAGGCAGTGCTGCTGGTCTGCTTCCCGAAGTGACAGAGACCTTACATATGAGATTCGCTGAGTGGAGTTTTATTACTATTGGAATAAATGTTTGTATCAAATTACAGAACAGCAGTAATTTACTATTCCATACTAGTATTTGTGCAATATTTCAGATAAAATGTCCACTTTAAGAGGCCTTCAGCAGTATGGTTGTATAGGTTGGCTGACCATGTCTTTTAATTAAGGTCCGGGGCCCAGCATCTGATTCTGAACGTCCTGATCCTGCCTTAGACGAGGGCCTTGATGAATTTTTCCATCGCACAGTGCTGACTCAGTCAAACAGGTATTGTACAATATCCTTAATTCTGCATAATTTGCCAGTGTTGAAGTTGGGCTATAGCTTTGCCTTGCACTCATAGTGTAAGCTCTAGCTATAACTAGGGCTTACACTATGGGATATAGTAGAAAAGCATGGTATCATCTGTCATTTGATGTCCCTTCAGTATCTCTTCAGGTCAAGGTGACACAGATGCACCCCCAAAAAGAAGGCGTCGCAGCCTCTTCCATTTCCGTAGAAGTCGGACCCCAAAGAGAGAACAAGACAGAGGGAGAACTGCTCCACCCCCCTCCCCGGGTCCAGAAAAATCAGATCATGTGAAAATTGAAGGATATTCAATAACAAATGGTACACCCATCAGCAATGGAGCTGAAACACATAGCATTGGTGGAGTCAGGGGGTTACCTGGCCGAGGAACACCGGTAAGCAGCACTTGACAAAGTTTGGAGTATAGTTGGCAATATACATACTATATGCCACAAGGAAGTTTCTACAAACCATTTTGTATATGGAATTAGAGATGTGTATCTAAAATAAGGTATATTACCCTATGTAAGCCAGTTTAATTCACCTAAATGTATGGGAAATGCCACTTAAACACTACACAAAGGTGTTTTGAGTATAGTTTTCCATTATTTAGCTGCTTTAAAAGTGTGTGTGCCCCCCCCCAACCCCATTTATCCTTTAATATAATAGAGCAACCTATGTCATGGTTCTTTAGCAGAGATAGGCAACCTTGGCACTGCCGCTGTGATGGAACTACAAACTCATTGAGGCATTTGCAAATCTCTTACAGCCTAGAGGCAGGGGCATGGTGGAATATGTACCTGTAGTTTCAACACAGTTGTGGTGCTGAGGTTGCTTACCCCTTGGCTAAAGCAACAACATAGTGATTTGAGGATGACGAAGCAGACAACAGATACTGGTAAACAAGGTAATATTGTGCCAGTACAATTCCTATCCCCTGGGTGATGGCACAAAACAGTCACTGCTAAATACTGTGTTCATCTGGAGCAATAGAGGAGTTGTTGCACCAGATACAATTCTTTTGAGCAAATATGACTGCTAGGGCTGCAACCAAAGAATCGATTATTCGAAAATAGAAGAATCGATAATGAGAATAGTTGTCAACTATTCTCATTATCGATTACTTGGTTGGATCCCCCAGCTCTCTCCTTCACGCTGGGAGGAGGGCACAGCAAGCAGTGGGTGGGTGCAATAGCCAGCCTGCTATTGGCTAATGCAATTTAAAATGGCCAATAGCAGGCTGGCAATTGTACCAGTTCACTATCTGCTGTATTTACATTCAGCTGCCGTCTGCGGAATCTTGCAACTGGCAGCTGTCACTTCCTGGCTGAAGCTACTCAAGTGCCATGTGCTTACAATACAATTTCAAAAAAATTATGATAAAAGGTGGGGAAAAAGTTATTTTCGGTTTCAGCCTGACAAATTGTGCTGCCGGAGGTGCGTTGCAGTGCCATTCATTTCAATGGCACCCCAAACGTGTCTCCCACCCACAGTGAGATCGCCCGCACTGGAATGCACGGTTCTACGATACCATGTGTTCCAGTGCAGTGCAATTGCAAAAAATTGTGCATGCAGTTTTTTTCTGAAGTAAACTTTATGTTTGTAACACTCTATTTGTGTATTTTTTATTTTAAATTAAGGATGGTATTTATTGAATTGTTTAAATCCAATTAATCAAATGATATAAAAAATTATTGGCCAACTAATCGATTATGAAAATAATCATTAGTTGCAGCCCTAATGACTGCACACTAAGAGATATTTGCACAATGGAAGTTCAATGCTACGCATGGCAAAACTAAAGAAAGCTGTCACTGAGGCAGGCCCCCACCACATCCAACAATGTAGATGCCTGAAAAACTCTTTAAGATGCCTCTGCACTGCATTATGGGGTACAGTGGGGGGAGGGTGGTTGAGATGTTTTCATAGTGCAGGCACTCACGGCACATGTGTACCCTGCATCACCATTTACACAAACTGGCACTGTTGGTTTATCAGTCTTTACAAAGTGACAAGTTGACTTTAATCTGAGTTTTGATGCCTGAAGTCTGAATTTTACAATCTTGTAGATTTCCTAGCATATATTGATTATAAAAAAACATTTCACATTAGACACCATAGTAAACTTACTGTATATTATATATAATATCAGAGAAATTCATAAAATGTTGTTTCTAATGTATGACTTTAGTCCTGTGAGCAAAGGCTGGAGGAAGTACAACCGGCAAGAGTACGAGGAGTTCCACTCCCAGGGATGGATGGTATCCGGCAATGGAAGGAGGTATGTCCTGGAGGGGCACTTTTAACTTTGCTAAAAAGTATTGACATTTGCACCCTGCAATGTTTTATTGAATTATGAAATGATATCCATCATTTTCAGATAGAGGCACCAGGAAGTACTAACTGTGTACCAGAGGACAGAAGACGCTCTTCTGGGGATGGGGGTAAATATTTATTCCATTCCGTATTCTTCTATCTGGACTTTTCCATGACCCTGAACTCTCATTCTCTCTTCCCCATGAGCAATTCAACCCATGCTTGCTCTGTCTTTTTTCTGGTGTTTCTCCCTACCTATTTTCCACTATCTACGTGCTTCCTATCTGTATGTGCAATGTCTCCCTCTCTTTGCCTTCCCCTACACTTTCCCTTCCTTTTTCTTCTCTCTCTGTCTCTCGCTCTCTCTCTCTGTCTCTCAGAGGAGGGTGCTACGTTTGAGGACAGACAGCCTTGTTTTTCCAACGGAGACAGGACCAATCAGAAGAATTTATCAAGAGAAGAGGTAATCCTATTATTGAAAGCTTTCCAGACTCTGGGAAATAAAAGGGAAGAGGTGGTGACATAAAGTAGTATAAAGCAAGGAAGCCAACAGATATATAGTATATTTTTTTTGTGCAATGGCTAATCTAGTTCCAGATAATTGCTCATTTGTTATTCACTATAAATAAAAGAAACTGCACCAGTTTATTATGATTTGGTTTTGAAATGAGATGTGTTGCATGTAAATATACAAGACAAAGTAGGGTAGTGCTAAATAATTCCAACCTTAAAATAATTTAAATGATAATTTAGAAGTATTGCACGTTTTAAAAAAACCCATGAAAATAGGATTAGAATGAGACAACAATTTGAACAATTCTTTTTCCAGAGATGTGTATTTGTACATTCCACTAACAATTAACCACTCTTTTATTATTTTAGGCAGGAGATTTGTGCTTTGTTAAGTAAGCAGACGTTAGTCTGTAAAGGTAAATTTTAAGGTACCAACAACAGATGACTGGCACCTGAGACTCTTTGAGAAAAAAAAAAGATTGGCCGGGTTGGATTTGGCCAGATAATTGATATTGTTTTATGAGATAACACTAGTGAGTGTCTCTTTACTAAATGCATGGACATGCACAAAAATGCAACATGAGTATACATTAACATACATGAGCGTACAGTATATGCTTTAATCAGATGAGGTCCACATCTGACTGCCATCTAGTTATTGATTCAGTAAGCTGCTATACCACTTACTGTACGCTAAATGTGGCATGTTAAGAGATATCACACGTGATAATATTGTTTGATTTATCAGAGGAAACATTTTCAGGTGTTATTAATGTCTTTGTAAATGTAACACCTGATTCACAGACTTGTTTAACTGGGAAAAAAAGCTAAATACTATATGTGCTTTAAGATCACCTTGGCTTTTCACCTAGTTTAAGCATGTCCTGTTGCAGTAGCAATACTGTACTTAAAGTGCACCTGTGGGTAACCTAAATGCACTAAACTATGATGTGTAGCAGATACCCCTTCCTTTTATGAGGTATGCATGCGTTGCTGCCGTAGCTCTCCTGCACCTATGCCAATAGCAACTTCTTAAAGTCGCAGTTTGCATAAGAATGTACATGTCTATCTGCACCCCAGTTAAAAATTCAAGTGCCTGCTGGTTGCTTAGGCACCAGGCCTTACACTGTGGAATGAAGGCAGGGGCGTGCATATGCTCCAGTACCAGGAAGTGGAGATAATGCTGGAAGTAAGGAATCCAAGGGAAGGAAAAGACAAATCATTAAAGCAAAGAAATATCCTCACAACATATGCTTTTTGCTATATACAGCACCATTTTGACACTTTTATGTATGGAAAACACCACAGTTGTACACTAGGCATGTGAACTGGTATCTCATTGCAAGAAGGTAGAAAATGTATGCCCCTTTGCCACCATGAATATACTAGCCTGCATGATCTCGAGCATTAACTGATTGCTTTAAAAGCAACTCCTATAAAAAAAAAAATGCCACTTCTCCCATTGCATGGGTGTCTTTTGCTGATGGACTCCAATCCTGGCACTCAAAAGGCGATTCAGGCATGAAGAAAAGCTTTAATGTGTAACCTACTTGCCCAGTAAACTAGTAAAGAGTTCTTACTTGTTAAACAGTGGCATCAAAACACAAAGAAACTCAATCCCATTTTTGTAAAAAAAAACAAAAAAGGTTTATTCTACACTCAACCTAACAATTAATGCAGAATTTTTACCAGTACCTAGGCTAAGGTAAGTATCAGGAAACACCGGCTTGAAAATGAGGAGATCCTAGCCAGTGATTGGTTATGAGGTCACATGGAACTCTGGTTACCTGCGGACATCACTTCAACAGACCGTATTTGTATGTAGAATTTTATTTTATTTTTTTGTAGCACGAAGATTACTTTTCTGTTTTGGGAGCTACAAGCTATCTGGTGTTTGAATAGCAAAGGTTGCAACTTACTTAACCCCAAAGGGGAGGTAGGGGGATTACTCATAAATACCCTATGCTAGCAATCTTTTTTGGGCACCAAGGGCACAGACGAGTCTGGAGCCAGTCAGAATCAGGCACTGTTACTTATTTATGAACCCATCTCAAATTATCCCCAAATGATGATGGACATGCAGCATGATATCAGCATGGCAGGTTTGGGAAAGGGAGTGGGTGACATTAGCTACTGTCCACAGAGATACCATTTTTCCTGCTTTGAGTGCCAGACTGGTGGTCTAAGTACATACAATTGTTAAAAAAGATAAAAAATATTACTGCTTAGTTCTGATTCCATAAAAAAACCTTTTTTACATAGCATGCCACTGGTCTTAAGTGATCACCCCTTAGTGTCTATGGCTGCTTTACGGTGTTAGTCTGATGAATTCTTCTGAATTTTTATGGTTCAAAATATCTGCTCCTGTGCAGTGCAGTGCTAACTCATTTCACGCATCAGCGCTTAATCATAGAGCCTATGAATCATCTAATTAATGCTATGATTAAGCATTGATGTGTGAGGGGCTTTGTGTGTCTTCATACTGCACCATTGTTATCTGAGTATACTTACCAAACTAGCAGATATTGGAATGCAGATGCAGTTTACTTTATTACATGTGATTTTTGCTGTGGGCTGAAAACCAGCATTTGAATTGCACCCATTCTATTGAACTTTGCAGCAGAACTAAGTTGAGCAGTAATGTATTCTGTGTTCTATCAAGTTAGATGTTTATATAACTCTAAGGATTCTTTGGTCATCCAAGCAATGCTAGTGTAAAAACAAAAGTAGGGACCAATTGTCAAGAAAACGTGTGGTGTTGGGATTATCTACCATAAAGAAACTAATCTAGGTTTCAATGCTGTCACCATATCGTTTGCACCTTGCATGTTAGTATGAAATACAGAAAATGTCACTAGTGTGTGACTAACAGACCTGAGCAGTGGGGTACTTGGATCTAAGTTACTTCTTTTATATGAAGCAATCTGTCCCCAGATAACAGGGTGACCGAGAATGTTTACCTCCCATTCACTGCACATTCCCGTCCCTTGTTTTTCCAGGGGGGTCTTACTGTTTCCTGCCCCCCTTCTGCAGAACTGCGGCCAGTTGCTGCCCCACGGGGTAGGAAAGTGTCTTGTGGGGGGGGGCAAGGTGATACCGAATGTCCGGAAGAGGCGAGGAAGGAAATTCCAGTGCCCAGGCCAAGAATCAGAGAACCTGTGAAAGAGGCGGCCCCCCCAGCGGGAGGTGGGAACAGCCCATTGCAAAGACTACACAGCATGCAGTGCTCACTCTCTCACCCACCTTTACCCAAGTCTGCATTTTTGCTGCCTATATCTGTTACCGCTTTCTCAGTTTTGGTTTGTAAATGCATTCAGCCTTGCTGTATATCTCTACATTCTACATTTGTTTTCATTTCTGACGTTTGCTATCCATTATATTTTGCTGTTTGTGTGCCCTCTCTCTTTCCATTCTACTGTGATTTACAACGACCCCTGCACTGTGATGTAATCCCTTACTTTTTCAAAAATGCTTTCATTAGATGGTGCACCACCTGTGCGTAGGCCTCCTCTGAAACCTCAGCGATCTCGGAGGATGCAGTCATGTGATTCAGCTGAAGCGCCAACTTCTGGTGAGATCTTTTTTTATAAAATCATGTATACTTAGTAATCATATCCAGAGAAAAGAAGACATGACTGTAGCTTACTGTATAAAGATAAAACTGTATTTTTTTGAAGAGCTTGGTACATAAAAATCTCATTACAAAATATAATTGTGTTTGGGTTCAGCCAAACATCAGTGATACTGACATATGGAAACTTGTTCCCCATAGTAAGCATTTAGTAACCTGACCTAGAAAACTAATTGGCAGTACTGGGCAACACTTAAAAAAACAAACCCATGCTTTGCCAATATGGCAAAGCAATGGGTTTGCTATAACCCTGCTAGATCCACAAACATATGCTTACTTTTCCTCCACTCCCCCATTGCTCCATTCAGCACCCAAAGTCAAAGAAATTCCTGATACTTCTGGGTATAGAGGAGCATATGACTCATTAAACGTGACACCACTGTGGCCAATTAATGCAATCATACAGGGAGTTGACTCTGGCGAGTTGTTTTCTAACATGTTCGTAAGACAAAAGTCGTGCGACCGTACAGTAGAAACGGTCGCACGCCTTCCACACACCTTGCGATTATCGTCCGTTAATCGCAAGGTGTGTGGGCACCTTTACAATTATCTGCAGATTTTCTGTGGTTAGATAGAAAAGGTGCAACAGATTTCTCCATCTACACTTAACTGTGTGGATGGAGTAATCTCACAGTGTAGCAGTGTAGATCGTATGATTTTTGCCGTACGGAAACGCCACCAACCTTGCAATAATCGTACGATCGGCCAAAGTTTTCGAACATGCTTGAAAGTCAAAAGTCGTACGATTGTACAGTATTTGCGGTTGTACACTGCCCATACACAGGGCATACACAGATGTATGGGCACCTTTAGGTGTATGGGCACCTTTACACAGGACTACCCTTTATCTCCAATTGGCCAAACAGAGTGGTGTGGAAGCAAATGAGAGGGTAGTATAGGGCTGGGGGGTATGCATTAAAGTAAACCTGCATGGGCAAACAATAAGTAGATATCTCTGGCATAGTATCTACATAGCACTCAGTTAGCCTGATGTTGTATGGGTGACCAAAAAGAAGAATTAGGAAAACAAACAGAAGTAGGTTGAGATTCAGTGCAAAGTGACAGTATCTTCGTAATGGGCCATCTCCAAACTCCTAATACTCATCTTGTCAGCACTCCCTCACTGTTCCTGTCTCAGTCACAGCCTGCACTAGAATCCCTAGTTGGCTGGTATTGGATGCAAGGAGAGTGGACAGTGCTCTGGCCTAAGGAATGGCCGTTAGACCAGAGCATTGTCATATGGGAGGCTGTCACTGAATATTGTCACCAGCTGTGACAGAAGCAGGAATGGTGAGGAAACACTGGCAAGGAGAGCATCAGGGGTCATCTTTAGGCAAGGTAACAGTGTCTCTTTAAGTATGAAGACATGATTTATGTGCTGTATTTTAATTTATAGAGAGAGATTAACTATGATATTTTGTTCTAGTGACTGGAACAGGTATTACACTGCAAACGTATGAACAGAAAATGCCTCAGACAGGTGATGCCTTGCAACGTGGACTACGCCACATGGCTGGTAAGTCCTAAGCCTACTCAAAAGTGAGCAAAATGGAAGAAAGAATGCATAGATCAGGTAAGGTTAAATACTAATACTAAAAAGACCTGAAAGATGGTTATAACTGCACCCATGGGACACTTTAATATTAAAAATAGCAAGTTTCTCAGCAGTGCAATTATAACCTCCTTCCAGGTCATTTTAATGGTTTAATACAAGCAAATGTTGCACTGAATTAAATATATGCAGAGAACCGATTAGTTAATTCAGTTAGAGGGGACCAAGGACTAATGTCCTCCTGTGACCTAAAATGCAGCATATAGCGAGCTATTGCCCGCTATATACTGACAAAGCAGAGCCGCAGTGCAGCCGGGATGTTTTTGGTTTGACATGCACTTAAAGAACTCCAGGATTTATTTTGTTTAATCCTTGCAGTGGGTTAAGTGCTTGTTTGTGCCTAGGCTCAAAAATAACAAAGTTATACTCACCTGAAGCTCCAAGCCGGCTTCTTCTTAGACTGGTTCTTCCAACATCTCGCCCCCTCCTCTGCAGCTGTCTAATGTCCTGTAAATCATCACATCTATACACAGTGTATAGACGTGAGAACACTCAGGAAGATTTCAATGCTGCAGGGAGGGGGAGACAGGCTGGAGGGAGTGCTGTGACAGCTGGCTGGCTCGGAGCTTCAGGTGAGTATATCTTTGTTATTTTAGCACCTAGACACAAGCAAGCAAATAACCCTTTCAGTGCATGGGGTAGCCCCACTGCAAGGGTTATTAAAAAACAATGCATTCCTGGAGTTCTTCTTTAAAATATATTCAGGCATACGTTATATAGTGGAGTTCTTTTCTAACGCTGAGATTATGTAATTCTTTTAGGTATAAAGTTAGTTAAGAACAATGGCCTTCTGTACATGGAAAAGGGACTCATGCAACAAAATTCAAGTGTAGCAGCGCCATGTGTTCTCTGAAATCTAAAAATGGCATGTCACAGCAGTACCTGGCACCCTGGCTAGTTGCAAATTAGAGAGAGTGTCTACAGTAGCCTTTCATTATGCTGATATAACATGGCACTGACAATCAAGATGCCAAAAGTTGCCATCTGGTTCAGTGCATTTTGTTACACACTGGTGAGGTCTCTCTACCTTTTCCAGAAATATTAGATACACTTGGTGAATAATATACAGTTTGCCAGTAATACATGCTCTTTTTGACTGTTATAGCTAAGTTAAACATTCACACACAGATATATAACAAGAAAAACAATAGCTTGAAATCTGAAGATAAACATAAAACAATTTGCATTTTGTCTTTTACAATATTCAATGTTCAACCCTTCGAGGTAGCATTTCCTTCCGAATCATATAATCCACCCTACAATGTAGACATTTATTGTGAATTTCAGACCCAATAGATAGAGAGTGGCAACATTTGTGTGTTTTGTTACCCACACCCAGTGAACATAAACTGTATATTTTGTGTATGTTAAATGAATAGGTAATTGCACTGATGTATATGTTTTAATTGCAGAAGCCAAAGAGAGAGATGTGAAGAGTCTGCCTTCGTAAGCGTGACTCCACCATCTGGAAAACTTGAAGTGTGACTTATTGGATAGCTGCCTGTGAACACACCACACAGAGTGCCCAACCTTAGAATAGGTTGCATTGAGAGGCCTATTACATATGACTGTGCATTTTCAGCACCTAATAAAACTTTAAACCTTGAGAAATGGTTGTTTTCTTGCATACCTAATATGTACAATAAGATGGTATAGAGAAAGGAAAGAGTACTTCTTTTAGATTAATAGAAGATGTTTTCCAAGAGTTTGATATTGTTTCAGTCAAGCGGTGTCATAGATGAGCTTCCCTGCACACTGGTGTGTTACTGCAGTGTCTACAACTGCTCCTAAGCCTATAAAGTCATGGGGCTCATCCACAATTGCTACGCCTCTTTATTTATCTTTATGACATATGTGTTCCAATGACATGTACAGAATAAAGCAGCCTTTTTCTTTCCTTCCTATCCTTTTATCTCTTATCTGCTGATTGAGTTTCTAAGGATTGAAATAAGTGGATTTTGTTTTGTTAAAACATTTTCTTTTGGTAAAAAATGGCACCTTAGGTTCTGAACAAGGCAGTTCATGGAGTGTGTATTCAGGACATTCAAGACAAAGTGGCAACGTGTCTGCAGCGACGAGAAATTCTAAGTGATTCTGTGTATGGGGGAACATTGTGCACTTGTCTTCCTCTTTCGAGGATACAGACAAGGGCACATGAGCAGCCAAGCCTGAACACTGTCCCTTGAGTAAGGACATATGGTCATGGCCCCTGTACACATCATTCATGTTATATAGCAGAATTGCCAGAGCTGCTTAATACTGACCCTTTGGTTTCATTTCTTTGTGTCACAAACCCCGAACATGTTTACAGAGAAGTAGTTCTGACTTAAATCTGACTTGTCAGTGACTCAAAATATGTTAAAGCTACAAGGTAGAGTTGTGTTTTGTGACATCCTCCTTCAAATACCGACAACCATTAAGAACATTCACCCAGTCCAGCCATTTACAGTTGGGGTGGGGGCCATTCACATCTTTTAAGGCCATACGAAGGGATGTTAAGGGATGCATCATGGCAAGATGCCCTTCAATATTTAAACTGGATTGCTTGTGTGATATTCAGAAGCTGTACTAAGATACCAAGCATTTCCACATCGCAATGGGTAAGTAAAATGGCCACTTAAAATAATAACACAATAGTCAAATCAAACTTATTCATTACTCATGAGAATTGTAAGAGTAATAATATCGGAAAAGTGCTCAATGGGTCACATGAGCATCAGAGGCAACATGTAGTGTAAAGAGTTCATCACCCATTCCCAGGAGTAGATGGCAAAGGCTTCCCACATCGGGCCTTCCTAATGTCAGGATGTAACTTTAGCCTGAACTGCTGAGAATGGCTGGTGAACCAATAATGTCCATCGCCACACTCTTCAAAATATTTGTCAATTATTGGCAACCCGCTGGCAGGTATCACAGGACCTACAATAATTGACTATGTTGGTGAGCATGTTAGGCCTGGAAAAACTGCAGGTACACCATGGAGTACATAGCAAGTATCCATTGTAGTGCTGGGGGCATTCAATATTGGGTACAGACAGTGTAGTGCTGGCATGCTCAGGCTGTGGGCTGGAGGTTGCATTTATTGGTACATTAGTTTCAGTCTGTGTACCCTCACCTGGCAGGGCTGTACCAGAACCACTTGTACCTAAAATTCTCAGCTGAACACTGACTGTAGCCAATCAGCTATGGTCACTGTTCCAGTATTCTGGTAGTGGCCCACCTACCACTCTCAGAGTACAATAGCCTGGCAGAGGAAATTGAGTGTTATATTCTCATTCAGCCCACAGGGTTGAACATGAAAAAACAAGTAGTGTATGGACAGCCTAAGAATTGTTTACAGGCCTTTAGTGCAGGGTTAGTTGCTTAACTCATGCACTAATGTTCTAAGGCAGAAATATCCCACCAAGCTGCCAACAGCTGCAGTGAAAAGATTTTCTAGCTTGCGGGAAAGCAATTTAAGTTCCCGCAGGCTAGGAATGAATGTCACTGGTGTTGGTTAACTCTGCAGTAAACCCTTTACACACACAAACAGTAGCCACAACCACATGTTTTAATTATTCTGAACTAGAAAGCCCATCCCCAGGGAAAAAAAACTACCCATGCAGTGGGGCTAGCCCCACACCGTATTAGGGAACCAAGAAACCAGACTGAAACTTAAAGTGCAGGTTTAAAATATAAAAGGAGTTTATTGAAAACAACAATAAACATAAATGGCAAAAAACAATAGAGAAGGTCCAGGACGCTGTCAGTGCTAAGCCAGGGGTCAGATGCCAAAATAGGTAGTCAGCGAAACCAGGTCAGGGAGCATGGAGAACAAGATGAATGGAAACAATAGCCGGAGTCAGGTACCAGGAGATTAGTCAGCCAGAGCCAGGATCATACACGGAAATCAGGAATAACGGTAGCATGCTTGGTTTATCAGAACAAATGCAAGGGCAGAGACTGAATACACAAGGTGAAGGTTAAATAGTGACTTGGTGCCTACATCATCACTCTGAGACAGGAATCAGCCAGGAGTTTGCCAGTCACAGCAGAATGATGATGTTTGCGGGTTTGGATTTAAGAGGGCGCCAAAGAGCAACTGCAGGGTCAGAAACACTAAAGCCATGCACAAGCGACTGGACAAGGAAGGGTAAGAAACCCTGACACACTGTTAGGGTTAACTGCTCATTTTTGGCTAGGAGCCCAGAGCCTCTTTCCCCTGTGCTCCAATGGTCAGAGGCCTGTTGACATCATCATGTCTAATGCAGGAGCCATAGTGAGGATGCCAAGGGACAGGCCACAAGCTGGAGTATAGGGGAGATATGCGAGTGCCGACTTAAGGTAAGCAAGGATCAGGTAAGTAAAAATCCTTTATATAGTGCCCATAGATGTTAACGAGCAGTTTTGTCCGACACGGATCCCGACATTACTGTGGAGATCCACCCAGCTGCGTGATTGACAGCTGGCTCTGCCTATCTAGAGGCAGAGCCAGCTGTACCCGCCCCCTCCCCCGTTCGTTCCTCCAGTCAGCGCTGGAGGATCAGAGCGGGGAGGGGGGAATCCCTGCAGGGAGCACTGAGAAGTGAGAAGCACTATTTAGCACAGTCAAATACAGTTTCGATTAGGATTGCACCAATACAGAATATTTGGGCAAGTACTTGTACTCGCCCAAATGCTCCAATACCTTCCCCAACACTGGAACTTCTGGTCAGTGGAAGGTTTCCTCTGACCGGCAGTGCTGTAGGGGAACATGGAGCCAGCTTCCCGTGCATTCAGGAAGCGGGGCAGCGACTAATGACCCGCTCCCGGTTTCCTGATTGGCCCAATCAGGCCATTACTCATCGCCCGGTTTCCTGATTGGCTGGCTCAATGCTGATTGGCTGGGAAGCCGGTTTCCTGGCCAATCACAATCAAGCCGGCCAAACAACATGGAGTCGGCTTCCCTGGCAAACAGGAAGCTGGGTAGCATGTAATTACCTGCTGCCCAGCTTCCTGATGGCATGGAGCAGGCTTCCTGGGCAAACAGAAGCACCGATACTCTATATGTGAGTACCAAAAGCAAAGTATCAGTGCTCCTACTCGATACCCAAAAACCTATATCGGTGCATCCCTAGTTTTGATTAAAGCAAATTTTTGTATAGTGACAAGTAGATTGTCATGAGGGACAAGTAGATTCGAGCCCCGCTTTAGCCCTTGGACAAGTAGTTTTTTCAAAAAGTTCCACACCCCTGAGCTTTCTTTATTGAGGCAAGGATTCTTTAATATCCTATTTAGGCCCCAGAGATTTAGCCTAACAAATTAAAATTATTGTTTTAATGAAAAGAAAAATAGTGCAAGACAATATTTACAGAGATTATATTACAAAGTAGACATTAAGTAACAGTAAAATAAATAGGATTAAAAGTGAAAAGTATTAGCAAAGTTTGCCTAGTGTTTGGTTTCGGCAGAGTCCAGTGCACAGCAGAGTCTAATCTGATGTATTAAGGTAATTGGCATTCATGAATGACCCATAGCAATCTTTCATTATTTCAATGGTATACAAGACATCTGGCTGTCAATAGCAGCAGTTTATTGTTTACCCTCTAATGTTGCTGAGCCAACCTCCAACCCAATTAAAAGAGCTGAGGGGTGTGATATAGGAGTGCTGAAGGGTTGCATTATACTTCAGCAGACAATTATTTCAACCATATTACTACATGACACGGTTTTGCAATCCTGCAGCCAACATAGTATTTAACGGAATGAAATTAGGACTTGATAAAGACTAAATATGTACATGATAACACAGGAATGTTTGGTATCAAATTGATTGTTACTCCCTTATACATTTGCATAGGCACGTTTTATAGATATCACCATTAAAGTACTGATTATGAAATATGAATAGATTTGAGCATTAGATCTGACAGGGCAATTTCAAGTAAAAAAAAAAAAGCAAGATTTACCAATATGTATTGCTGCAAGACTATTTTACAACTATTTAGGGCAGCTTTTAGTAGGCTCTGGTGTAAGGGAGCATCCGGGTAATGGTTTTAATGACACTGGGACTGTTTCCTGTCCAAGATGCTGTAGGTAAAATGTTTTAAAGGAATTCATGATGGCCTGCTTTTTGTTGATTCAGTCTAGTCTGTGTTTTCCCAAAGGGGCCATCTCTACCTCACAGACAAAAGATGTAAATCTGATTGTTTTGCTGCTGATTTGTGAATTTTGGAGGAATGAAGGTGGCACTCCCCAAACAGCTTGGGGTTTATAATACCTCATAATCATCACAGTACCAGCTACAATTGCTTAGTCATTTGGCAATAACACTGAGCTGGCAAGTCAGTAACTATTTCTGCACAAATAGGCTGGAGCTACATGACCGATTACTGCTAAGAGATTAAAGGAGAACTATGAGATGAGTGATTTTCACTCAGCCTCATAGTTCGAGCCGACGTGTGACAATGAAACTGTCACACGTCGGCTCAATAGATCGGGAAGTGAGCGAATGCATACCGTCGCGGCTCCCTGCAGCGCTGTCTGGTGGAACGGACGGGGCGGGTACAGCTGGCTCTGCCTCTAGATTAGGGTTGCCACCCGTACGGGAATGACCCGGACAGTCCGGTTTTGGAATCCTGTGCCCGGGTACACGACTTTGGCAGACCCGGGCACAGGATTCAAGCCGCAGACTTGCTCACCTGACAGCTGGCTGTGAGTGGCGGCGGACGGCGACTGTGAGCGGCGGCGGACGGCGACTGTGAGCGGCGGCGGACGGCGGGCTGTGAGTGGCGGAGGGCGGCCGGCGATGAGGTGTCAGCGGCGGCAGTGGATGAAGTGTCGGCGACGGCCGATCAGCTGTCACCGGCGCGCGATCAGCTGTCATCGAGGCTGCAGCCGGGCGGCGCTGTCTTCACACACTCCCTCCCTCTCTCTGGTGTTCTCGGCTAGGGAGAGGAAGTGACATCAGAGAGAGAGAGAGGGAGCGAGGGAGAAATCATTCTCCGGCAGCCTGCGCGTGGGGACTGGACTCTGAAGCGGCTTCTTCTTCTTCTCGCCTGGGACTTCTGCGACCAACGCCGTCCTTCTCCACACCTGTACCTCTGGACGTCTAAAAAAGGTATTTAAAACATTTAAAGTGTTTAATAAAAAATATTAATTGAAATGGGAGGGGGTGGCTGGCGCGTCGCTTTTTAAGGCCTTGTTCACACCGAAACGCACCACGTTTGCTGGAACGCACCACGATCGCTGTGAAACTTTGGTAACGGGAGGACGCTAGTTTGTGTCCTCCCGTTACCCCAAGGAGAACTATGGGGGAAAACACTGACCCCATAGTTCTCCTTTAACCCCATAGTTCTCCTTTAAACTACACATAACACTACAGTCTGCTACTGAGAAATGTAACTACTTGTTCCTCATCATCTTATTAGCACTACACTTCAGTGAAATGCAAATTGCCAACAGGCAGATGAATCTCTCAGTGGCAAGAAGGTTTAATCGCCAGTGTAGCCCTAGCCATATTCTTCCTAGCCGCATAGAATGTGTGACCAGTGCTTTCTAAGATGGCCATGTTACTGGAACCCAAAGGACCCAGAAGCAGCTTTTTTTTTCCTGGATAGGTAGTTATTGAAAGGGTAAAGAAACTTTCAAACACAGATGGATCATCTCCTGGCCCATTTCTAAATCCTAATTCTATGTAATTACATTGTGCATATGCATTGGCATCCATATGAAGAAACCAGTAGAGAGATTTAAACAGTGTGGAAGGCCTTGGCAGCACAATTTTGGTAAGTATGGAGTTTGAGGGAATGAGGCTCTAATTCTGTGCAGGAGGGTGGGGTCAACAGGGTAAAGAAAATTTGGAAGTTTTTTCACTCTTCTCCTTGTTCTTTTACTTATGCTAGTACCCAAACTGGAACCTCGGGTAGATGAAGGTGGTCTTTGGATTATAACTAAGTTCGAAGAAGAGGGAAAAATTGAATCATGCCACTAGAACTTGTGACGGTCCATTCACAGCCCAGCCGCCGTGTTCCTAGTGCAGACTGCAAAATGATAGTAGGCTCTCCCTCAGATATGGCGCAGAGGACGTATCATAATACTCATTAACAATGAAGTCGCCTCCTATGTCTGATCCGTTTCCTGTGCTACACACAGCGTCAGCCATTGTACAGGGATCAACTCCGAACTCGCCGAGTCGCCGCCCTATTCCTACACACACATACACAGCCCCTGGATACTCGCTGCGGTCACCTGACACTGACATCCACGTGACCTAGCGGTGCGCGCGGGTGGGCGGGGAAAAATGGCGGCGCCCTTGCTGGGTGAGGAGGGTGACAGAGATGTGATGTGTGTCATGTGTTTTGTAAGATTTCGGAAACTTTCCAGAATTTTATGGCGTCTATGTGTGTGTGTGTCCTGGAAGTCAGTTCGTTTCTTGACTTCTGAGTGTCGGGGGTACATCATGTGCCGTTTTTCTCCTGTGTGTTCCATATACAAAGAGTTGAGTGCCTGACGTTTTGTACGAAGCAATAGGCAGTGTATGCTGCTGGTCTGTGTACTCATGGGGGGGTGGAAGAGAGAGAGTTGCTAGGATTGTCAGATGGAATTCTGAGCTCTACACTGTGTTGTATGTGTATTTAAAGATGATATCCAGGTGTATATATATTTATATATACTTGCCTTGGTCCAAGTGTGCATATGTCATACCTGGTCTGTCCAGGGTGATCCTGTAAAGCACTGTAGTAGCTGGTAATACTATGGTGATTTACAGTGATCTTCCTTGCCATGTATGGTGCTGTGCTCCTGAGAACACAAGGGGTCTCTCACTTGGCACAGCGCCCATTCAGAGGGTGCCTAGTATTTGTTTTCTCAATGAGTACATTGTGCTCTCTGATTGGACAAGTGACAGATCCTGACATCAGTGCCTCTTGTCCAATCAGGGAGCACACTGAGGGGAATATATCAAAACTGGAGCAGCTCTGCACGGCAACCAATCAGCACCTGCTGTCTCATTTTCAAATCTTAAATAAACTGGAGAGAAGCTGATTGGTTGCCCTGGGCAACTGCTCCAGATTTCTGTCTGTTCCACTTTTGATAAATTTCCCTCCCTGTGTTTTCAGAGCACAGCTCTGCACCATACATGACCTGGAAGATTGTGCTGTCAGCACTGTAGTAACTGGGTACTGTTAGGGTACTTGAATGACAGGATCCCCTGTGCTGACCAGGTATAAAATATGAATACTTGGGTGGACAAGACTGAGTTAGTTGACACTGGTGATCTCCCTAAATGCAAGTTGGCTTTGTAGCCTCAATACTGATTACTGACCTGGAACAAGCGTTGTGGGAAGCACAGGTCACAGAGGTTAGTATGGTAGCACTTCTATTGCAGGGAACTGACCTTTAAACTTTTTTTTAGGCAGCTTTAAAAGAGAACTATGGCCAAACCTTTTTTGGCTTTAGTTCTTTATTGGGTCACAGGAGAGCATATACTAATGTCCTCCTGTGACCCAAAGTTAGCATCTAATGAGCTACTGCACAGAACCAGAGCGAGCTGTGCTCACACCCTCCCCTGTCTATGCCTCCAGTCAGCACCGGAGGAATAAAAAGAGGAGAGGAGGGAATCCCTGCGGGGAGCAGAGACTGACAGTCACTGCTCTTTGCAGGGAGAAGGCCAGGAACTGAGCGATCACAAACCGCTGATCTATAGAGCTGATGTGTGACAGCTGCAGTGTTACATGTTGGCTCTAATTATGGAGATGATTGTTCAAGAAAGCCCCACAGACTCACCGCTCCATTCTAACTTCTGCTGCAGTCAGACCATACCCTGGGTGCAGGCTATAGTGTGCTTCACACTTGTTCAAAAGATCAGCCGCACAAACCAGAGTAAATGTAATCCGAAAGTTTATTGTAGTAATCCAAACAGGTTAAAAAAATAGATAAATATGTTCCCCCCCCCCCCCCCATAGTTCTTTAAAGTGTAGTTCCACTTTTGCAGTCAAATTTGAGAAACTAAACTATGTTTGGACAGGCAGTGTGTAGTGCAGTACAATACAGACAGGCTTAATTAAACATGGTAAACATGAACTTCCCAGCCCCCTCCTTAAAGGAGAACTATGGGGTTAAGGATGTTGCGCGCAATTTTAAAGCTTGACATGTTTAGTGTCTATTTAACCGACGTGACCTGATCTTTTATAATTGACCAAAAACCTGGGTAATAATAAATGTTTCCTAACAATGTTACAGAAAACGTTTTTTTTTCAAGATTTTCAGTAATTTTTCCTAATTATAATAAAAAATAAAACCCGTAGTGGTGATTAAATACCACCAAAAGAAAGCTCTATCTGTCCCCAAAAAATGGTATAAAATTCATTTCAGTACAGCGCTGCATGACGGAATAAACGTCAGTCAAAGTATCGCAGCGCTGAATACTGAAAAATGGCCTGGCCAGGAAGGGGGTCTAAACACCTGGTCTTGAAGTGGTTAAAGGGTTATTGAACCCTCCAGTGTTTTTGCATATATCTACTGCTAGCAAGCTGTAGATATATGCAAAAAGTGACAGCGGCTTCTTGAATGCGGGTGGGCGTTTTTAAACGTCCCATCCGGCCCCGCTCGTGCCCACCGCTAGGTGGCGCGCACTTCCCGCCCCGCCACTAGGCGGCGGGCACGAGCGGGAAACCAGCCTGGAATGTAAACAGCCAGCGATGGCTGTTTACATACAAGCGTTCGGGCGTCTGTACAGACGCCCGATCGCTGGTAATATGCGTGCGGGTGTGCGCACTCCCTCCGCTGCTGGCGATCCCGAGCTCCCGACCACCACAGCAGCTCTGCGGCCGGAGATTAAACAGAGATCAGTACACGAACTCCGTTTGGTCTCCTCTTCGAAATGCAGGAAGTGATGTGTATTACATCACTTCCGCATTCCTCTGTCACTCTCCGGTACAGAAACCGGAGAGTAGCTGGTGAAGCAGGTGTTTGCTTCGTCAGCTTCTCTGGGGGTCCCTAGGTGACATTAGGGGTCTTACAGACCTCTGATGTCTACATAAAGAGGACCTGTCACTGAAAATTGGCTATCACAAAGGGGGCTTGAAAAAAAAAAAGGTTTAAAAGAATTAGTTACAAAAAAAATATTAAAAACTTAAAAATTCACATATAAGGTAATAAAAATTAAAGTCCCCCGCCCCCCACATGCAAACATGCATCGAGTGCGGAAACGACTATTGCATCCATTACGTCACACATGTTACATATCGTCGCAGTGAGAGCAATAATTTTAGGGCCATCAATCACTGATAACACTAAACTGATGAGCAGTTAAAAGCTTTTAAAGCATCGCCTATGGCCAATTTTTGGGTATTGTTGTTTTTGCGAGTTTGCGGGCGCACGCAATTTTAAAGCTTGACATGTTTGGTGTCTGTTTACCCGACGTGATCCCGTCTTTTATATTTTGCCAAAGATTTGGGTCATAATAATTGTTTTATAAAATAACGTAGGGAAAACAGGTTTTTTTCCCCAAAATTTTCGGTACTTTTTTCATTTATATAGTAAAAAATAAAAACCCGTAGTGGTGATTAAATACCACCAAAAGAAAGCGCTATCTGTCCCCAAAAAATGGTATAAAATTCATTTGAGTACAGCATTGCACTGGTACTCAAAGTATCTGTGCATCCCTAATTTTAAGCAAGTAAAAAGATAAGAAACAACTTTTAAAGTCAGTCGTTAAACCTTAAAATGCATTCAAGCTCACCTGTGATGGACTACAATCTCAATACAAATTACTAGGGATGCACTGATGCAGATACTAGTATCAGTACAGATACCGATTTTTTTGGGCATGTACTAGTACTCAGCCAAAAGCTCAGATTCCTTCCCTGAAACCAGAACTTCCAGTCAGAGGAAGATTTCCTCTGACTGGCAGTTCCCTAGGGGGATCATGGAGCCATCTTCCCGTGCGATCAGGAAGCTGGGCTGCAAGTAATGACTGTGACGTATGCCCGGCCCAGACCCCCTGTACGTCAATCCCACGTGACTATACGCAAGTCTGAACTGAGGGTCGCAAGAACGTGACGATACCACTCTCAGCCTCACTCTGCACAGAGATTTCCCAGCTCGCAGGACACAATCTCATGCCAGCAGACTGAGAGCGATCGTCACCAGGGTTGGTTAACTCCGCAGTTAACCTTTTACCCACCAAACATTCGCTGCCACCATGTATTTTTCGTTACGGAACCCCAACCGTGTCCAGCAAATGCTGCGACAATTTAAACACTTAATCAATGCCTGTGATACGCTGTCCTCTCAGACAGGAAAATGACAGGAGTCACTATACAGTAGCGCTCATCACAGAGGCAAGAATACTTTAAGTTCGTATTTAGAGCGTAGAGATAAGCTTAATGATTTTTAAGATCGTCCTTTAATAAAAGAAACGGTGCAGAAAATATACAGAAAAAGATTTAATAAAAAGAGACAACATATGTATACAACAGCAAAATAAAAGGAGAATACTCAACAGTCCTGGAATTAGGAGTTCTGACAGAGTTCAATAAGCAAAGGGGAAGTCTGCAGGGCCCTTTAAGCAATGCTTTCATCCAATAATGTCCAAAGATTAAAGGGGAACTCTTCTGCGATGTTAAGACTTCTCAGTTACTTGATGTTTTCAAAAACCAGAGCGCCCTCTAGTCGCCTAGACAGAATATTTTATAAGCCCCTTTTGGAGGGTGTTCCGCAGCCGGCCCCTAGGGCAGGGCTGGGGAGGGAAAGCAGGAAGGAGGCTAAACCTTTTTATTTTTCACTATCCAAACCCAATTCCAAATGATAAAATGTAGTTTATTTTGTAACTCAGGTTTTATGACTTTCATGTGAATGCGGGGTCACCACCTCTCCCAGACCTGCTTGTTTATATAACTTGTCCACTGGTAATAGATGAGTGCTTGGTGCCATGCCTTTAATTAGGGCCACCATAATGCTTCCACACACCTTACGAACATCGTACGATCGCGGGATTTCCCGCGATTATCGTACGATAATCGTAAGGTTGTATGACCAGCTTTAGAGAGATATTTGGGACTTTCACTAGGGCTGGGGCAATAAAAAGATCACAGCCACAGAGCAGATCTCTGTTCGGTGGAATGTGGGAGGCCTAGCAAATGACTAATTTAACCCCTTCATGACTGAGGCCCTTTTTTCAATTTTTGCACCCATGTTATATTCCTTTAAACAGAGTCCCGGCGGCAAAAGTCGCCGGGAGTCTGTTTAAACAGCCCCGATGCTGGCGACGTACACTGTACGTCGTCAGTCACGAAGGGGTTAATGCCTGCATTTGCTCTGACGGGGAAACAAACCAATTTTATTTTTTAATATTCAGTCTCAAACCCCCCATTATCGTCACAATGACCAGCCTCCCTGATTGGATAGGAAGCTGGGAGGCGGGTCATTACTCGCCGCCCAGCTTCCTGATTGGCCGGGAAGTTGGCTAAACAACATGGTTCTAGCTTCTCGGGCAATCAGTTTGCCCGAGAAGCCGGCTCCACGCCAACGGAAGCACCGGTATCGACGAGTACCGAAAGCAAAATATCGGTACTAGATAACGGAAAACCAGTATCGGTGCATCCCTACAGATTAGTAAACTAAACATGAGATTGTAGTCCATCACAGGAGTGAGCTTGGAGCGGTGACTACTCTACAACACACACAGGGACCATGGGGAACAAAAGTAGCCACCCTCCAGAAGGAAGGACAGTGTCCGCACCAATTCAGAGATGATTTGAGGATCTACAGCTGAGTGATACATAAATAAGAGACATTTCTGTTAAAGGAGAACTATGGGGTCAGTGTTTTTCCCCATAGTTCTCTTCAGGGTAACGGGAGGACACAAACTAGCGTCCTCCCGTTACCCTAAGCTCAGTATACGGTGAGCTACAGCTCGCGGTATACTGAGACGCCGGAGCGGATCCCGACGTAGATGATGGGATCCGCCCAGCTGCGTGAGTGACAGCTGGCTCTGCCTATCTAGAGGCAGAGCCAGCTGTACCCGCCCCCTCCCCCGTCCGTTCCGCCAGTCAGCGCTGGCAGATCGGAGAGGGGAATCCAGCCCCTCCCCCTGTCACGGCAGAGAGCCGTGACAGGATCGAGAGGCGAGCGAACCCGGTATGTGTTCGCTCACCTCCCGATCTACTGAGCCGACCTGTGACAGTCTCATTGTCACAGGTCGGCTAGAACTATGAGGTGAGTGAAAAGCACTCACCTCATAGTTCTCATTGTAGTTAAGGTACTTGAATGTAGTTTTAAGATTTAACTCCTAAGTTTAGCATCATTTTAAATATTGTTTTTTAATCTGTCCTATGTAAATAGTAATGTGGAACACATAGATTAGGCATTCTCCCGATTTGGCTGCAAAAGTGGAAATACACTTTAAGATCTAGTATTTAGGGAACTAGTATTTTGTGAAGACAGTGTCTGCAATGGCAGCTTTCATACTTCATGAGTGAAATATGTTAGGGTACATTCAAAATGAGTGGAACTTCAGTTTGTTTTACTGTGTGCTTTGTAGTAACGTGGTAAAATGCATTTACAACACATAAATGTGAGGCTAGCCTAAAGGTTTCAGTGTGGACCATGCATGTGTATAGGTTTTGTCTTGAATTGCATTCTAACTGTACTGTCTCCCTTTATATTGTAAAGCGCTGTGCAAACTGTTAAACCTGTATAATAATAAATGTAAAGTTTTTCTAGTCCTTTACCCATGCTTGGATACTGTTCACACGTGCATGTTTATATTTACAGTGGCGTGCATGCAACGGGGTTTGTATAGGACATCTGTATCATGTACATTTAAAAGAAGTTTGCAGAACAGTGCTGTTCTCTGTGCAGGCCAAGATTGGAGAAAACAGTGAGTACCTTAATTTTATTCACTATTAATATTCAGCACAGCAGTGTATTTCCGATTACTGTGTCACTCCTATATTGTATTACTAATGTAATTCATGAAAAATGTATTAGGAAGGGGCTTCTGTCACTGTAACAACATTCTCTCACCATTCTTTCAGTTGGCCATGCAATGAACACAGTTCAAAACATTACCATAACCCATTCCCATAAGGGTGACCCATGTCTTCTTTTTGAGCAATTCTTTGGTGGAGTTGCCAGTGTGCTTCAGATCATTGTTTTGAATCTTTGGATAAATAGGCTTACATTCTCATCCAGCACACTTTTCATATTGATGCAAAATTCAAAGTTGGCTGATGACTGCAAGCTGCCCAGGCCATGCAGCAGCAGAGCAACCCCAAACCATAATATTTCTATCACCATGCTTCACAGTTGGTATCAGGATGCTGTTTTCGGTTTGCACCAAACATGTTTACTGTTACTGTGGCCAAACAGCTCTCTTTGCATCATCAGTTCACAGCACATTGTTCCTATAGTTCTGTGTTCTTTGCCTATATGTTCAGTGGCAAACTGTAGTCTTCCACCAATGTTCTTTTTCAACAGCAAATGCTTTTTTTCTGGCACACCTCTCATGCAGATTAAATTGGACAATCTCTTTCTGACTGTTGACTCATGCACACCAACCTATTCAAGAGTTACCTGCAGACCCGCAGTTCATGGGCTGAATTTGCTGGGCCAGCCAGTCCTGAACAAAGTAGCACTTGTTTGAAATTTACACCACTTCTTAAAGATTATTTTCTTTGCAGTGCAATGATTGAGGATCTTGGCATGATGACACCATACCCACCAGTAGCAAAGAGAACATCAAACCCCATATAGAGATTGGAAGTTTAAACATTTCGCTGCCAGAGCCTTTTGACTAAAAATGTTTGTGAGTCTGTGAAACGGCAACAAACTTCGGTACAACCAGTGGTTCTCGACCTGTGTAACCTCACTAGCCACATTTGTCCAAGTCGCACTGCAATGGAACGCACGGCATTGCGGTACCACATGTTCCGGTGCAGGTGATTGAACTACGGGCGTTTAGGGTGCCATTCAAATGCATGGCAACACCACCCGTTAATCGCACAGAACTGTTTGATTAATGCACTGTACTAGTGCGAACGGTCCCTCGAAAACACTGACAGACGCACACAACAACAGACGCAATCTCGCACACAACCACAGACGCATCTCAGAACGTGACGTTATTTCAACCCTGTCCAGGCACCTCTACAGGACATGCAAGGAAGCTGTAAGCAATGCATGTATGGATGGAGCTCCCTCACGGCCATAGCTCCAGCCCACCCCACTTTAAACTGACAGTGCTGCGCTAGAGATAGGCTGAGAAGCCTCTCACCTAGAAAAGTGGAAGGCACGCGGCGGCCCACTGAACACCAGGTTGCGACCCACTTTTGGGTCACGACCCACCAGTTGAGAACCAAGGCTTTACAGGACATCATTTTAAAGTAAAATGTATTCATGTGAATAAAGGCCCAACAATGATTGCTCTTATTCTGTCGTATGCAGCAATATGTAACACGTGGCGCAATCGCTGCTTTTGCACCCGACAAATGTGTTTAGGTAGGTATGTATGTACGTTTGCCCCTATGTGATAGCCCATATACATGCAGGTTCTCTTTAGGGAGACATTAGGAGTTTATTAGAGCCCTTATGTCACCTTTCTACTCCATTGAAGCTGATCAAGCACAGATCGAGCTTGATAACCTTCTTCCCCGGCTCTGAACCTGGCAGTGACATTCATTGACGCTTCCAGGACCATTCACCAGAGAGGAGATCGGTGAACAGATGTTCACTAGTCTATCTCCTGCCATGGCAGTCCTGGGCCCCCAAGAGGTTCAGCGGAGCCCAGAATACATGGCGGGGGCACACCTTATGAAGCTTTGTAAGTGATTGGGTGCTTTTACAGCCGCCATAAGTATTATGTTGGTCGCAGAAAAAGGGGTTAAATAAGACAGGTTCCACCTGCATACTTCCTAAGCGGATTTGTGTCATTGGCGCCTAATCTGGAACGCTTGATTTTAATTTTATTAAATTGGAGTGGCGGTACATTTAGGGGTGTACATACTTTTTCACATTTTTGTTCAATTTCGTTTATGAGAATGAATATAACCGTCCCCTCCTCTCTTCCAAAGACCTCCTGCTTTCCAGCTGCCTTGTCAACTCCTCCCATGCTCGCCTCCAGGACTTCTCTAGAGTCTCTCCCATCCTCTGCAACTCTTTACCACAACCTGTCCACCTATCTCCCACTCTGACTGCCTTAGGCGATCCCTTAAGACTCATCTCTTCAGGAAAGACTATCCCACCTCAAACTGACCACTGAAACATCACATTCTCAAACAATTCCCACACAGCTCCCTCCTCATGTATCACTTGCCCCTCCCTTTTAGATTGCAAGCCCTCAGGGGCAGGGCCCTCTTTACCATCGTGTCTTGAATTGTAACATCTTCCTTATATTGTAAAGCGTTGCGCAAACTGTTGGCGCTATATAAATCCTATATAATAATATAGACCAAGTCAATGTCTGTGTAATTTTTCAAGTATATAACGTTTATTTGTAGGGCAACAATTTCCATGGGGTGCACTTACTTTTTCACATCACTGTACTATAATAATGAATGCGGTTTGTGTTTCAATGGTTGTTCAGCAAGTGCCCAAAATTGCATTTATGAGTTCACCATCAAGCTGGTCAGTGGTTGCTAGGCTTTCCCAATAACTGTATGGAATGGTTTGATCAATTAATGAGTCATTTTTTGAGGGGAGGGGAGGAGAAAGGGTGCACCAAATGTTTCTTCTATAGAATGTTGCACATATTGTAAATAGGAAAGGTATGCTTACATTTCTTATGTCCTACCTCCAGGCATGGTTTTGCTCGCAGTGATTCAGAGTATGGACCCTTGACAGACCTTCCAGACTGGAGCTTTGTAGGTAAGTTGAGATGGATGTGCTGCATTTTGTCCGTTTCCTTGAGGTATTTACACAGCAAGATTGCACATACGATGGACAAATTGTGTTATCCAAGCATTATGTCAGGCTGAGATTTTTCATGATGTAGTTGTATTTGAAATGCAAAAATGCATTTTTATTTTTGTTCATTTCAAGGGTCCGACCTAAAGTGGAACTTTACTGTAAGTTTAAAAAAAATTGCGAGAAGGAAGTTTTTTTTTGTTCATTGCAAGAGACTGTGGATTCTTACCTGTTTTCTTTGCAAACTTCTTAAACTGTGCACTGAGTTGTGCATTTATAATCCGGGCATCTGCTGAATGAACCTCCGCAAATACAGGAAGTTCTTTCACCCCAGGCAAGCCAATCAAGATGGTTTAAGATCCTAAAGGCCGTGACACACTGCACGCGAAGCCGTGCAGAGCGAAGCAAAGCTATCTGGCACAGAGCTTTGCATGCAGTGTGTGAGCTGAGTGCAGTCAGATGATTGACTGCACCTTCAGCCAATCGGCCCGTACTTAACAACCGGCCAGACGTCGCATCCCGTCGCGCCGGTTTATACGCGCTAGCCGATTGGCCGATTGGCTGAAGTTGAAGTTGGTCATCTCGGCACGCTCAGTTCCGCGAGCTCTCGCCAGCTGAGGTGCCCTGGAGAAATTGACATGACACACTGCTCGCAAAGGCAGCGCGCCACCGCTTCGCGTGCAGTGTGTCACAGCCTTAAGACATGCCGGCGAGGGTGCTCGCAGATGTTGCATCATGGAGGTAAGTATAGATCCACTTTATTACACACAATGCTATATGTCTTATTTTTTTAAAACATTTTTGAACTGCAACACATTGATGTCAAGTAGCCACATAGCATTTAGTAGGATTTCTTCTTTCACACAGTTGTTGTGTAATTGGAACACGACTTAAGTCAGGCTTTAGGCCTGACGGTGGTTATGGTCTTGCTGCCCTCAGCTCCTCTAAAAAGATAAAGGGTTAAGATTTAGAATTGTGGGAGAAGTGCTAATTGTTTTTCGTATTAGGCATGGAAAACTTTAGTGTGTCCCATATCCAGCCAGCTAGTTATGGGTAAGAGTGTCTTCTGGAAATTCACAGAAGTTTTGAGGTCCAGATGGTTACATCGTGAGCTTGGCTGGTATTAAAGGAGAATTATGAGGCGAGTGATTTTCGCTCAGCCTCATAATCTGAGCCGACCTGTGACAATTAAACTGTCACAGGTCGGCTCAGTAGATCGGGAAGTGAGCAAACACATACCGCCACTCACTCACTTCTCGATCTATCCCTGCAGAGAGCAGTGACTGTCACTCACGGCTCCCTGCAGGGATTCCTTCTCCGATCTTCCAGGGCTGACTGGCAGAACGGACGGGGAGGGGGGCGGGCACAGCTGGCTCTGCTTCTGGATTGGCAGAGCCAGCTGTCCATCCCACAGCTGGGTGGATCCAGACATTAATGTCGGGATCCCTCCTTGCTGCTGCGTCTCAGTATACGGCGAGATGTAGCTTGCAGTATACTGAGCTTTGGGTCACGGGAGGACGCTAGTTTGTGTCCTCCCGTTACCCTTAGTAGAGCTATGGGGAAAAGCCCTGACCCCATAGTTCTCTTTTAACCCCTTCGTGACGGGAGACGTACACTGTACGTCCTGGCACTTTGTGCCTATATGACTGGCCACGTACACTGGTGAGTTATATCAGGCTCTGTAATGCCGGTAACTGCTGATTCTCAGCGGTAACCAGTCATTATTGAATGCCTCAGTATTGAGGCATTCATTGATGAAATAGTTAAGCTTTTGTAAAAGCTTATGTCTTTCATTAATGAAAGAATTAAGCCGTTACATGCAAATATGGGAGCGCTAAATAGTGCTCCGATATTTGACAGCTGAAAATAGCAGAGAGGCAGCAGAGTGACTCACCTCCCTGCTATTTGTTTTGACAGCTCCATAGACTGGCCCAATGTTTATGAAGCTATGTGATACATCTCAAGCAAAGAGATACAATGTATCTCTTTGCTTGAAATGTATAATTTCTGATCATCTAGGCACGATCAAAGAGCTTTAGTGAGATCTGAATCTGACATGCTGTCAGGATCAGTCTCTATGGTTATTATTAGCTGTTCCTAAGTTTGGAGCAGCCTAATAATAGCCAAAAATTTAAAAAAAA